AAAATAAATTAAAACACTTACGTTTGCTGTTTGAGGATGTTTGACAGCGGTCCCCAGTCCAGCTATCGGTACATCTAACGATTTAAAAAATCAGATGAATGTGTATAAAGAAAAATAACTCCTGTGCAAGGGTGATTTGTGGTTCTTCCAAATTCACACAGATCACCCCAATTTTAAGAAATCTACATTGGTTACCAGTACGCCAGAAAATATCATTCAAAATCTTGCTGAGTGTATATGAAGCACATCTTGGTCTTGGTCCCACTTGTATCAAAGAACTGTTGAATTTGATTTGATTTGATTTATTGGTTTCTGTATCTTTTTTTCTTTTTTTCATCATATATTTTCATGAACATAATGTGGTTTTATACAATATTTTAAGTGTATATACTTTTATACAGATAGTAAACGAAATTAAACAAATATATTGAATGCATAATTAACATACATTAGACGCAGGAGGGCTACATAAATAAGCAAAGTAGCTTGACGCGCCCGCAGCCCTCAACTTAGATACAACAATAACAATATAAAAAAAGAGTGACTTACAGAGAAAAAAAGAAAAGGGGGAGAGAGGAGTGTTGGTAATAATACAATAATCCTCATACATCTGCTGATTGAATGCACGTTCATTTATGGATGGATAAACGATGATATAGGTCATGGACGATTACACATTATTTGTTAATGTACAGTCAATGTACACAAACTTAAACAACACAATCGCAACTTGCGCAGTTCCCGAGACAAATCGTTGCCGCAGATCCCATCTATCAAACAAAAATAACACTAGGTGATCTAGAATTTGCTTGTGCAGCCCCAAAACTCTGGGATAACTTACCATTTGAAGTCAGGAAATCACCATCTGTGAATATCTTTAAATCAACACTGAAAGCTCATCTTTTCAATTATCTAATGAAATGTGTCAATGTAAATGAAATATTGAATAATCTGATATATATTTTGAAATACAATGAAGTTTACTGGATTTTTGACAGAATTGGTCAAAGTGTGCATGCTCAAAGTCTCCCTCAGATTATATCCCTGTGCCACATTACATCTCTCCATAGATTTTTGTTTTACCTGTAGTTTATTTCTAGATTTCTAATATAAAATTATTATATTAATTTGAAGAAAAAAGAAAAGGTTGCCATGTAGCGAACCTAAACAGGAAGGTTTAGTGCATAAACTTTTTGTTACAGTTTACAGTATAATCCTCCCAATTTGTTTCTATTGTTTTCACCAATCAGCACTCTTGACAAGCCTGCTAATATACCGTTGATACCAATAGGCACTTGTAAAAAGGTTGAAAAGCGGCTATTAAGGTTGGGACCTACCTGCATTCTCCACCTGATCTATCGCTTGTTATTATACAGGTTCCACTGTTTTCACAGGTCAAGTCTTCACAGGGGACTGTAGAACATTGGAAAAATCGAGATAAAATATTAAAAGGATTCCATAACTATATTATGTAAATAAGCCATATAAGACACTATTTTATAAATTATACCTAAGCGTTTAATTACACCGAATCTGCAATGACCCTTGAAAAGATATAAAAGTGAATATGTGACTGCTATAGAATGGACTCATTTTGTATTGATTGTTTCGATTACATAAATATTAGGGATAGATTAGGGATAAAATGAACCTAGGATTATAATGCGCTAAGATAGTGAGTGAATCGAGTGTAAGGTTATGCTTGTTACATACGTGGCGTCATGTTGTTAGACTGCGACTTGCGCAGGATGCAATACGAACATTCACAATCCCAAGTCCACTCTAGCAAGAATAGTGTTTATTTGTTTTCACGTGATGCATTATTGGAAAAAAAGTAGACGGATAATAAGATGTGGCATTGTTATATGCCCTATGAAATATGGGATTTCATGAGAATTTTTGGAGGGGAAGTTTTAAAAAGCATATCCGGGTTAAAATTGTGCACTCGTTAAACAAATATCAGCCTATTCCAAAAGCATAGGCCAATTTTGACCACAACTGACCTATTGTGTTACTTTGGGTCAGGGTGATTTTTTCTAATCGTTATTATCGCTATTAAAATGCGCCCGATCAGTGCTAGAAAAAAAGTGTTCGAATTGCCCCCACCCCATCAAATACAATAACTATGATCGTTTCAGTCACCTTTTTCCAAACATGACCATTTGTATTGATATTTGTTCAAAGTCAGAATCAATTTATGGTTTCGACATCAAAAACAATATAAAAATGTGCGCTGATATAAGAACAATCAATGTCATAGAACGAATTCACGCAGTTTGGACCACTTTGTCAATTTGATCGGTGGCTAGCATTATGCAATTTTAACAATGTTCACGTGCTAGCTGATAAATTCGCCTGTCGCGGCTTGTCGGTGGGGGCGCTGTTAATTGTGAATGCACCCTATTCAATTATTGGTTTTATTATTAAAGGCCAAGTCCACTCCAAAAAAAACTTACTTATAATAGAAAACCAATCAAAAAAAGTTTGAACAATCGGATAACTAATAAGAAAGTTATGAATTTTGAATGATATGAAAAACTTTGAAAATCACAAGACAAATTGGCAACTCACTCATGAATCTGTGACGTCATTGCCTAACTACCCACTTATTGTTTTATTTATATTGATAACATTTCCCATTTTCCCCTTAAAAGTATCATTTCCTCACAAGTTTTCGTGCGGATACACTAACAAAGAGTTTGTTTTTTTCTTCAGTTAAGTCATGACAAATGTTAATTTGGTAAACTGTTTTAGTATACAATACTCAGAAAATAGTATAAATTCTTCAAAGTTCATAAAAGAATTTGTGAGATGTCATGCACGCAATATGATACAAATCGTATGACTTGGGCAAAGGCATGGGGAAATTAATTTTTAGTGGGGGATAAAAAGGGAAGTTAATGGATACAAATATATAAAGCAATTGATAAATAAGGAGACAATGACGTCACAAACTGATAACCAAATTGGCAATTTGTGTAGTGATTGCCATTTTTCCATACTTGTTCATTCTTTTCCAAAAATGCATAACTTCCTTATTAGTTATCCGATTTTACTCGATCTTTTTTATTTGTATTGGGTTGTCTGATTTTTCTGCTTCAATTGAAATTTTTTTTTTTTTTTGGAGTGGACTTTGCCTTTAAATGCCTGGGTGATAACGCAATCTAAATGCTATATGATTTGTAATAGGTCGTAATAGATCGTTTGTCGTACAAAAAACTCACGAAAAATGATGAAAGCTGGGAGTGACGTAAGGAACAGTCCGGAACCGCTTGTGATCTCGGCCTCTGATGTCAATGCGCTTCTAAAAATGTCAATAGCTTCTATTTCACTTAAGCTCGTTGTTGGATTGAAAATGAGAATGAAATTGGCAATGATACTTCCACTCCCGAAGGATACGACTCGCGAGCCGATGAAACCCGGTGTGTTTTGATATATCTTATCGAGCTGAGGAAAACAAGATATTGGGTTGAGGAGAAAATGAGAGAGGACAAGGAAAATAAATCAAATCCATTGAGTGAATTAATTGCCCATTCGAAATTAGTTTTGTGTGTAATTAATATACAAAAAATATTCCACTAATGAAGAGTCTTCTGGTAAGACTGATGTTTATGGTGGTCGCGCTTGAAGTGAGTAACATTCTTACACAGTTTCATATTCAACCATAAAAAACAATGGATAAATTCATACTTTTCCTAACTCTGAACTTGTTTGTTTTTTATCGAAGGGGAGACACACTGCTAAAAGAAAACATAGAAAACAAAAACCTTGACGAGCAAAAACCTTTGATCTTGAGGAGTATGAAGAAAACTAAACGCAGACAAACAAACTCACATTCTAGTACGCATTCACACTCACACTTACTTTTTTTTTTAAATACTTTTTTCTTATTGATTCCAAACAATACAAATTCATTTTTAGAAATAAAGTACAGTTGTTTTTCCTTGACATGAATTCAAAACATTTACATTACATAAATTGTACAATTGATGAATACAAAAATGAAATCAGTTGTAACATAAAAAAAATAACCCCATCCAACCAAACACAGTACTACCCCCCCCCCCCTCCTCCCCATCATGCGACACACACACTGTTCCTAGCCCCCTCAGAATACCCCAAATTGGAGCGACAGACAAACAGAAACAAACACACACACACACTCTTAAAACAAAAATTTGTTTGATTCCTCCAATAGTGTAATACAAACATACAATAAAATAAAAACGTTTTCAATATTGATTGCTTATATATAAACATAATTAAACAACAACTCATATGCAGTATATAAACTGAGCTAAAATTGAAAGTAAACTTAAAGTACATAAACATAAGTTATAAGTCAATTGTACACGTTATTCACTTATACATGTAATAACAAAATAACAAATAAAACAAACTGGAGGTTATTTTACTGGTTCTCCCAAATACCCCTCCCTCACACAAACACACACACCCACAAAACACACCACATTCATACACACAAGCATACAAAACACACTCCCCCAAAAAACACGCCCCCACACACACGCCACACACACACACACGTACACACACACATATATATATATATTATAAGACATATACTAATCATTAATATACTGTATAACATTATTAAATGAATCAATATAAATAATGTGCCCCCCCCCCCTCTCACCGAGGTGCAAAGAAGAAAAGAACCTTCACATAATTATTGCGAAAGAACTGTTTTGTAGTTCATGTATTTTCACTTTCTTACATTTGCTTGGAGCTCCAATGCGAGGTTTTTGAATGTTGTAGTTGTGTCGTCCATAGGTCCTGTGTAAAGGGTGCGTCGATGCCTTTAATTCTTGCCAAAACCATGTTTCCAGTTAGTTCATAATTTACTATTTCAAGAGAAAAGAAAAGCAAATTCAAAAGAAAAATAAAGAAAATGATCTAAATGAAGAGACACATTACATGCCTTAATGATCATCATACACTTGTGAAGATTTGGTTACTGAAATATATTTTGAAATCATGATTTTAAAATACAAAATACATAATCCTGGTGGGCTGACAAAATGAATCTTACATCTTAAACCACGGTTATAAAGCGGTAGTCTTGTACGCTTCTTTGTAAGCAAAACTAGTCCCTAGTCTCAAATTATTATCTGTTTGTTATCTTATTTCGTGACAGACGATATCATTACAAGTTGTATTAAAACTGAATGGGATCTTGTTCTGTAAAGAAAGAATTTGAATTTTCCGTGCAAAAACTCTTTTGAAATTCTATATATGAAAACAGTTGAGTTGAGGGATAGTTGAGTTCTGTTTTCAAACCGCAAGTGCCTTTAAAATGCATGGTTATTACTCTTATTCTTATCTATGACATTTCTAGTGCCCTTTCAGAACCGAAAATTGCTATGAAGGTAATTTTAGACCCCCAAATGTGTGAAATTTAGCCAATACTATCATACCAATTGAGCTCCACTTTCAAAAAATTACGATGACCGTTAATTAATTATTTAATTAAAAATAACAATACATTGGCCGGCTGGTTGTGCGTAAAATAGCCACCACGAAAATGCCAACAAAAAAGCCAACATCGGCATTGGCCGAAATAAGACGTAAAAGGCGCTATTTCGTTCTTTCAACGTTTTTTTTCTTCCAATTATCTAATATTTTTGGAGGTACACAAGTATTATAAATTGTTATATATGTATGTATATTTCAGCCGTCTCTGAACCGATTTTGTTCAAAAGATGATTTTGTCATTTAAATTGTACGTTCTTTCAAATTTGACACTCAGTTTTTCATTATCTCACAAAAATATTGTGTGTAGCACCCTCTGCAACAGAACTCAACTATCCCTTTAAGCAGTTACGGTCTTTTATTTGGGCTATATTGGATTTAAATTAATTCAGGAAGATTGGAAAGTTCAATTTAAATATTTAAAATTAGTTTTGTTAAAATAGGGCAGCCTCTTTTCTTAAATTGGATTTTTACGTCATAAGGTGACCAGGATATTTTTCTTTGGTGGTATTGATATTTTATCTAATACAAACAATATCTGTGTGTCATTTAATTATGAATTTTAAAACAGCCCCCTTTAAAAATAAGTACATATAATTCTGAAATTCCAAATTTCGTTCTACGTTGGTAATATATTATTATTCTGTTCACGTCATACATAACGTTTCAATGAAGTTTGTAAGTTATCTTTCATTATCTAGATTAAAGTATAGAGAATTAAACATATCTTTAAAAATATTGATAAGATAGTTGAGGTAAATGCATTTATTATGCGCAATAACTTTGGGGAACATCTATTGAAATTTGAAAGACACAAATTTAAAAAAAATATATAGACAAATTATCGCCTGTCTACTTGAAGGAGCTGTCTATTCGAAATCATTAATAAGTGATTGGTTTACCTGGTTGATTTCTTGTCACATTTAGAACAAACTGGATGGTTTTTGACAAGACTCCATCTGTTGCTTCAATCCTGATGTTGTTAACGCCAGGCGACAGATCTGCTGGCTGAAATTGTTCCACTCCATTAACAATAATGGGGTCATATATGACGTCACCATAGAACGCGAAATTAAGAGAGGTCAGGCCCTCCTTGAGATGACCACGGAAGAATAGACTGTATGTGTTTCCATCATAAGCAGCGGATGCCTGCAAAATCTCGACTGGCAACTCCGTCACTTTAGAGAAAAATTTGAGGAGGGAAATTAAAGCAACGAAATAAGGCTCAGAATTACATGAAATATATAACAGGGGTATTGAAACCGACTATAAATAGATAAATACATGAAAAAGATAAATTAAATCATTAAAATGTTATCAAAGAAAGGTGGGAATCTAAAATATTGTAGTGGGAAAGAAAGTATTTGGAAGGGGATTAATCGACTGGCGTTTGCATTAGCTAACTAGCGTTTAGAACTGTAATGTTCAATCTTGCCTTGATATATCCCATTTGGGGGGGGGGGATTTTGTCACAGTATGTCATGATTGTATTTTAATTCTCCAATACATTTTGAATAGTACAGGTAATATGTGTAGGTTATAATATACTCCTGATGACATGTTTATGTATAAAACGCATTTAAAGCGATTATTTTCTCTGACATATATTAATTTTACAAGATGTTTATTGTTCACTTCCCGTTCTGACACAAAAGCGGTGATATTAGTATATAATTAAATACTCCTATTAAATAATGGAAATCTCCAAACTACTAAGTTACTAGTAATCATTTCCATTAACCCTATATGGGTGTTCCGTAATTGAGTGTATTACGGTTATTTAAGAATATATGTTGAAGAAACCCGACTGTTTACATGGGCAATGCAGAATGCGTTATAGGGTGATTATTACTATTAATAAAACTCACTTTGTATATCAATATAACAGACGGTGCTATTGATGTTTCCAGCTGAATCGGTGACAGTTGCTGATATTTCATTGACGCCTGGATCTAACCTTTGACCCGGTTGCTTTGGAGCAAAATCAACCCGAAGTGACGACGGTTCATCGACATTATCCGAAACACAGCGTCATAATTAGCCACAACGTTACCAAACGGCACAGTCAGGTTGGAACACATTATAAAAGGAGATTCATCATCTGTCAAATCAAATCGATGAATACGTTGCGGTTAGCTAATGTAAATATTTCATGAGATACGGATTATTATTGTCACGTGTATGATTGATTAATAACAAGCTATTTTTGTGCCACTTATAGGATTATATTAGATGTTTATGTGTGTACAAGTGTTGTGGTCTAGTGGTTAAGCCACCAGAATGTACATCAAAAGCTACGGGGTTCTAATAGCCCAGCATTAACGTCCCTTGGTCGACACGTCAATCTATGATTGCCACTCTCCACCCGGGTGTAAATAGGTAACTGATATCCTTGAGTGCTTGTTACTTAGGTGACTCAGCTATGACCAGAACAATAAAGTCAAATCACGTTCATCTCCGTCACTGTGTGACGGAGATGAACGCTCAACAAGTGGCAACTCTTATGATGATGATGATGATGATAATGATAATAATAATAATACAATATTTACTGACCTTCAGTGAGGGGGATACGAAATATATTGCCTGAACTAGATTCATATTAACCGAGTCGTAGATGAGGGCAATATATGTTGTATCTCTCGGAAGTATGAGCCATTCAATATTATTATTATTATTATTATCCACATCAGACATTTAGAGCCCAAAATGGAAATATTACTTTCCTACGCCTGCTTTGCTGGCAGCTCTCCCGACACTTTGCAGGCCTTATGCTATGGTCACATTACCCAAAAGTAGCCTGCTCGGCGGCCGAGCGGCGAGTTTTTAACCAATTCTGCCCGGCGGCTGCCCGGCCACCGAGCGGCGACCGGCCAGTCACCGCTCGTTGTTAGGGCATCGCTCGGTCGCCGCTGAAGTTTTAGCGCGGAGTTAAAATTTGGGCGGCGCCTGCCCACTTTTCACTCGCCGCCCAAAATACGCTCGGTGCCTGGGCGGTCTCCGCCCGGGCACCAAACTAATCGCTGGGCGATGCCGAATTCCAGCAGCGACCGAGCAGGCTACTGATCGGTCGGTCGCTGCTCTAATTTGTGACCATAGCTTAAGGGGCCGCGTACAGTGCACCTGCCCTATATCATAGCTGTGCCTGCTAGCTAAAAGAGTACGCCAATTAAAATTTCTGTTTTGTGTGTCTACGCCTAGAATTAAAATTAGGATAAGTGATAGGAATTAGGGGGGGGGGGGGGGGGTCGCACAAAAGAACAATAGATCAGAGATTACACAGTATTTTACATAATCCAATATATACATGTACCTACCATTCTTCATAATTTAACGCAATTCATCGAGCTGTTTAAAGGGTGTAATTTTACTTGTTTTGTTGTTAAAAAAGACACGATTTCCTTTGTTACGTACATACACACGCGCCGTATAGTTGCGCGAGCTATTTCGACTACGCGCTGCATTACTGCTGCCTGCTGCACCACACACACACACACACAGCCGACCATCTGCTTATTTTACTGTAAACATATGGAAATGGCCTTTATTCGCAAGAGAAAAGACATATTTTGCACTGTTTGATTGCAAAGTTCCCGGATGTTACACTTCCGGTTATTCAAGACTTTATATACCTCTCTTTAGAATATAGCGATCTGATTGGTCAAAAATGGAGTCGTGATTTTAGCCATGCCCGCCTGCGAAATTTTTATTCCCAAACAGGTTTGCAATTTCTTATATTTCCGATCTTCTGATTGGCTGATATGTTCTACGTCATTAGCAGCTTACAAAAAGAGCTCACAAACAATTAGACTTGTATTATTTGTTTTGCTTTGCCTCACTATTTATTAAGGCAACAAAACTGAATAAACTGAGATTTGAACCCTCAAGTCAACTTCAAAGTGCTATTAGTAACACGCTGTCCTTACCGATTGAGCCAACGATGGGTTGATGAAAAGTGATTCTGCATGATTTCTATAACCCTATCACTCGCCCTAACGGTTACGTCATTGCTAATGACGTAACATACCAGCCAATCAGATGATCGGATATATTACCATTGGCAAACCTGTTTCGGAAAAAATAATTCGCTGCTCGCCTACCGGTCAATAGTCTTATAAAAGATACCCGGATGCCCGCCTACCGTCAATAGTCTTTTAAAAGATGCCCGCATAAATACATTTTGGTGAGATCCCATTGGTCAACGTGTAAAGAGTTTATTTGTGCGAGCGCAGATACAAAATGCAATGCAGTGTGTTTGCGATTCCCGAATGATTGTAACATTTTGGAATCTTTCTAGCGAAGATTTACAGACAATGTCTCAGATTTTCGGTGATGTTTTAATCAGTCCTTACTCAACAAAGGGATAAGGTAAAAAATTTTGTAGATTTTTTTGGTGTGAATTCGGTATGTAAAAGATATAAAGGCTGCTTTAATATTTGTTAGCTCTCGGGGACGTTACATCCTGCTATCATCCCTTGGCACGGCTCGGAGTGTAACTGTGTCAGGATGTAACTTCTCCTTGAGCCTATACAACAACTATTCCTCTCATAGCAGTTATATCTATACTATTGACTGTTTGTTTTTATATGTAAAGTCCATAGGCTTTTTCATGAGAGGGTAATAATATACAGATATCGACTGCTTTGAGAGGCATGGCTGTTTTATTTGCTCAAGGGAACGCGCGCAGATCCTGCCATTACCCTGAGGCGTGCCTGCATGGTGGGCGGCACGCCGAGGGGTAATGGCAGGATCTGCTAGTTCCCGAGAGCATATAAAGCAGCCAGACCTCGAATATTAATGCAGTCGATATGTCTTTTATATGCCAAATTGAAACAAAATCTATCAATAATTCTGACCTTATTTTTTTATTGAGTAAAGATTGGTTAAAACATCACGGAAATCTGAGACATAGTCTGTTAATCTTAATTGAAAAATGACTGAAATGTTTAATCATTTGGAAATCGCATCCAAAAATCACTGTATGGTGTCCGCGCTCGCACAAAAACAATTTAAACACATAAACAAATGGGTATCGCAGCAAAATGTTTACTATTTGCATGGTAACCGTAATGTTGAGGGATCTCACTCTTGGATTATCAACCGTTAATGGCATTTTGCGTTTCTCAACGTGAATGGCTAAAATCACGACTCCAATTTCGACCAATCAGATGGTCTTATATTGACCGCGTTGCAAACAAGTGTAATATGATTTTGTAAAACCACTGGTCAGATGTCTGATATACCCTTTGACTGTATGAAGTTAACAGCACTACAAACATCAGAGCACACAACAATAAACATTATGATGTAAATGTACATTGTTTGTAATATACCACAATAGGTAGTAACGTATGACAAAAAAAAAAAAAAAAATACATAAGACAGAGAAGGTTTATATTTGCTAAAGGGACATGTTTAACAATAACATATCAACATATTTTTGTCCAAACTCTTGTTGGCACTTTTACCCAATATTAATGGATTAAAAGTAAAGTCATTTTCTTCCCTTACAAAAAAGTACCATGGTAACCATGGTACTTTTGTCCAAATTACCATCCACCATGGTAACCATGGTTATCATGGTACCAAAACAATGAAATACATTGGGTCATTAGACAATGTATTTCATTGTTGTGGAACCATGATAACCAAGGTTACCATGGTACATTTTTGTAAGGGTTAAATGCCGATTCACTTACTCTTAATCGCATATTGCACTATCATTTTGTGATGAATTTAAAATAAAATAAAATGTTAAATGTATTACCTTGAACATGGTATGTTCCTGTGCATGTCTTACTCAATTCGTCATCATAGATAAGTGCAATCACGTCGTGTGTCCCTATGGACACACCGCTGCCAACCGGGGAACCTCCTAGAGTAATATTTACCGAGACATCACCTCCGTGATATCTGTAACCATCTACAGATTTGGTTACGTCATCTGCTCCGAAATCTGGGCTAAAAGTATACGTCGCTTGTCCTGGATCAGTGCCTATTGTGCGATCAAAGTCCGAGCAGTTAACGGGCAACTCGGTAACTGCAAAAAATAACAATGATAATAAAAGACGGTCGGTAATTTAGAAAGTATACGTTGATGTAACAAAATAATAAGTTTAGAATTTCGTAAATTATCAAATAATTGCTCGTAAAGTACTTCCCTTGCTAATGTTTAACGCAAGCATCTTCATCAGAAGTGGGAAAATATCAAGATTTGCAGTGCAACATGCCTCATAAGGGTGAATTAGACCTCCCGAAGAACCTAGGGGCAATTTGCAACATGTCGTGTAGCAGTTGCAAGTTCTTCCAGTAATTGATTGTAACATCGCTAATAATTGCTATTTCACTGGACAAACAATATTCTTCATGAAACAATGTCCTTTAAACCTACGTGTGTTCTGTAAGTAGAATAAGCAGGAATCTGAGTTGTTAAATGCATCGACTGCCAACAGGGTTACTGGTGTGTATCCTGGAGGAAACAGGTCATCTTCTGAGACGTTATAAGTTACCCCATTCGGGGCAGCACTTGCATCTTGGTAAGTATAGGTTGTACCATTCGTCAATCCAGAAAAGGTGTTTGGTGTATCGAGATGGAGAGCTACATTGGAACATGTCAGGATAGGAGGATCTGTGTCTATAAAAAAAAACATATATATATATATATATATATATATAAAAGCCTAGTTAATTAAAAGCTGAGGAAAGCTTATTTTCGAACACTTTGCAACAGAAGGACACAGGGTTGTTCAGTTTAAAATTGTCAGTAAACGTGCGTATATTGAAATGTTTGTTTAGCTGTCTTTCCAATACGGACAACAGACGCTCAAAAATATGTCGCTTGAAGAGATGTCATGATAGATTGGATATGTCACCGGCCTGTGGATCAAAAGGTCCGCGGTTTAAGTCCTGCTGCGGCACTAATGTCCTTCGACAATTCGACAATATACAGTGTTCTACATTTGCCACTCTCTATCCAGTTGTTAAATGATGTTAAATGGGTACCAGGTAGCGTTTTTGTTGTACCACAGAGAGCCAAGATTCATGTATGAACTCATTTCCATTCATTACACGCTACGCAAGCCCGCGAAAAGGTAACAAACAATTAGACTTTGATTGTTTATTGCTTTCCTTCCCTATTTATAAGGCAAAACAACTAAATGAATATTGAGATTCGAACCTTCAATTGAATCCCAAGGATTCTATTAGTAATACGCTGTCCTTACCGATTGAGATAACGATGGATTGATGAAAGGTTGTTTCGTATAATTAGTATTCCCCTATTAACAACCCTACTGGATTCCATGTGCGTATGCGCTGGTTTCCATCGCGAGTACGCATGCGAAGGTTTCGTTCGAGAGCTCAATCTGTGGGTGGGCTCACTAGGGTACGAAAAAAAGACGCTAGCCGGTACCCGAAAGCTAATGTGGTTAGATTAGCAAGTGTGCGCTTGCAAAATTGACGCCTGGCTGGAATGCTCACCAGGGAGTGGGGAATGTGCATATATTATGTGCGGGTAAGGCTGAATCCGATGACCGGGGTAGTAACATATATCTGTGAAGTGCTTTGAAAGGGCCTGCGGTCCTAAAAAGCGCTATATAAGAACAAACTATTATATTATTATTACGGAATTGTATAAGCGGTGGCTTCTCTTGGGCCATATATAAAATCTGTGCATTATATAAATAAGTCTCATAGAATTAGAAAACTGACAAGATTGTTTCGGGGAATCCACGCATCCTCGCCAAATAGGTTATCATAAATTTTTTAACGGGCATGAATTCTTCCAAAGCAGTGAAACAAACGGAAGACAAGAAGTAACAAAACTATTGATTAATAATGTGATGATTCTTTTGCCAGATTTTTGGCATTGTCCTTTTTGCGTGGTAGTACATAATGATACTTTCAAAAAACCGTAGCCACAGTTACATTTCTTATAAACATGAAACAAAGTTGATTAGATCAATATATCTCCGGTCTTTAATAATGCAATTGATATAAAATGAATAAAATATAAGTTGCTGTACATGCACCATTACCTTTGACGATATAAATGCCCATGCATGTCTTAGTCAATTCGTCATCATAGATGAGTGCTATCGTGTCATGGGTTCCTATGGACACACTGCTCCCAACTGGGGATCCTCCTAAAGTAAGATTTACCGAGACATCACCTCCGTGATATCTGTAACCATCTACAGATTTGGTGACATTATCTGCTCCGAAATCTGGGTTAAAAGTATACGTCGCTTGGTCTGGATCAGTGCTTATTGTGCGATTCAAGTTCGGGCAGTCCACGGGTAACTCGGTAACTGCAAACAATTACAATGATAAGAAAAGACGGTTGGTAACTCAATAATCTTAAATTGATGTTAAACACACAGTCAGTTTAGAATTTCTAAATTATCAAATATTTGCTCGTAAATTAAAGTATTCCCTTGCTAAAGTTTGTTACAAGTATCTCTATCAGAAATGGGAAATATCAAGATTTGATTTGCAACATGCCTCATAAGGGTGAATTAGACCTCCCGAAGAACCCAGTGGCAATTTGCAACACGTCGTGTAGCAGTTCCAAGTTCTTCCAGTAATTGATTGTAACATCGCTAATAATTGCTATATCACTGGACAAATCCTATTCTTCATGGGACAATGTCTCATTAGACCTACGTGTGTTCTGTACGTAGAATAAGCAGGAATCTGAGTTGTTATATGCATCGACTGCCAACAGTGTTACTGGTGTGTATCCTGGAGGAAACAGGTCATCTTCTGAGACGTTATAAGTAACCCCATTCGGGTCAGCACTTGCATCCGTGTAAGTATAGGTTGTACCATTCGTCAATCCAGAAAAGGTGTTTGGTGAATCGAGATCCAAGTCGAGAGTAACATTGGAACATGTCAAGATAGGAGGATCTGTGTCTATAAAATATTAAATGTATTAATGCATAGTTAATTGAAAGCATACAAAAGCTTTTTTTGGAACATGCAGAAACAGAAAGGACACATAGTTTTCCAATATAAAATTGTCAGTAAACGTGAGTAAATTGTAATGTTTCTATAGCTGTCCACGCATAAATAGCGAGGTTATCATAAATTATTTAAAGGGGATGAATTCTTCCAAGGCAGTGAATCAGAAGGAAGACAAGGAGGAACAAAACTTTTGTTAAATCATGTGACGATTCTTTTGCCAAATATATGGCTTTATCCATTGTTGTATTGGTACATAATGATACTATCAACGAACCGTAACCACAGTTTAATTTCTCATAAAAAGGTGTTTTTAAGATCAATATATATTTAGTCTTAAATAATATACTTGATACAAAACTGATAAAATGTAAGTTGCTGTCCATGTACCAATTACCTTTGACAATATAGATGCCCGTGCATGTCTTACTCAACTCGCCATCGTAGATGAGTGCAATCACGTCATGGGTTCCTATGGACACACTGCTCCCAACTGGGGATCCTCCTAAAGTAAGATTTACCGAGACACCACCTCCGTGATATCTGTAACCATCTACAGATTTGGTGACGTCATCTGCTCCGAAATCTGGGTTAAAAGTATACGTCGCTTGGTCTGGATCAGTGCTAATTGTGCGATTCAAGTTCGGGCAGTCCACGGGTAACTCGGTAACTGCAAACAATTACAATGATAAGAAAAGACGGTTGGTAACTCAATAATCTTAAATTGATGTTAAACACACAATCAGTTTAGAATTTCTAAATTATCAAATATTTGCTCGTAAATTAAAGTATTCCCTTGCTAAAGTTTGTTACAAGTATCTCTATCAGAAATGGGAAATATCAAGATTTGATTTGCAATATGCCTCATAAGGGTGAATTAGACCTCCCGAAGAACCCCGTGGCAATTTACAACATGTCGTGTAGCAGTTCCAAGTTCTTCCAGTAATTGATTGTAACATCGCTATTAATAGCTATATCACTGGACAATTCCTATTCTTCATGAGACAATGTCTCATTAGACCTACGTGTGTTCTGTACGTAGAATAAGCAGGAATCTGAGTTGTTATATGCATCGACTGCCAACAGTGTTACTGGTGTGTATCCTGGAGGAAACAGGTCATCTTCTGAGACGTTATAAGTAACCCCATTCGGGTCAGCACTTGCATCCGTGTAAGTATAGGTTGTACCATTCGTCAATCCAGAAAAGGTGTTTGGTGAATCGAGATCCAAGTCGAGAGTAACATTGGAACATGTCAAGATAGGAGGATCTGTGTCTATAGAATATTAAATGTATTAATGCATAGTTAATTGAAAGCATACAAAAGCTTTTTTTGGAACATGCAGAAACAGAAAGGACACATAGTTCTCTAATATAAAATTGTCAGTAAACGTGAGTAAATTGTAATGTTTCTATAGCTGTCCACGCATAAATAGCGAGGTTATCATAAATTATTTAAAGGGGACGAATTCTTCCAAGGCAGTGAATCAGAAGGAAGACAAGGAGGAACAATTTTTTTTTTCAAATCATGTGACGATTCTTTTGCCAAATATATGGCTTTGTCCATTGTTGTATTGGTACATAATGTTACTATCAACGAACCGTAACCACATTTTAATTTCTCATAAAAAGGTGTTTTTAAGATCAATATATGAAGAGCTTGATTCCAAAAGGAGCTAAATCCATATGTTATCAAAATGGAGTTATTTGTCTTAAAATAATGATTTCCTACATGGGGACAAAATGCACTATATCAACTTCGAAAATTTTACCAGGAAGTATGAACAAAATTAGGTACAATATCATGTTTCATTCCAAAGGAGCTAAATCCAAATCGGTTTCATTCCAAAAGGAGCTAAATCCACTTTGAGTAAATCACCTTTTTTCCCCCTCCACTTTCGCTTTAGCAATGTACCTTCATGTTGTTATATACGTTAAAGGTGTCGCCCTGGACCAATAATATATGATAAGACAAAAAATCTACCAGTCATTTCTAATTTTTTACTGAATTATTAGATTTTGTGGATTTAGCTCCTTTTGGAATGAAACATGGATTTAGCTCCTTTTGGAATGAAACGGATTTAGCTCCTTTTGGAATGAAAATGTGAGATGTTGTCTACATTCATTTCAAAAGTTTTTTTTTAGTTGTGATTTCATTATTATTATTTAAAAGGAAAGGTTTGCTACTAAATTTTAATAAATTTCAGTGACTTTATTGAGAGAATATGAAATTTTCCAGGTACAATATCATGTTTCATTCCAAAAGGAGCTAAATCCACGAAAACAAAAATTCTAAAAATTTAGTAAAAATCAGGAAAAACTGGTAGATTTTTTCTTATCATATATTATTGGTCAAGGGTGACACCTTTAAAATATATAACAACATTAAGGTCCATGGCTAAAGGGAAAGTGGAGCAATAAAAAAAAAAGTCGATTTACTCAGAAGTACCCAAAGTGGATTTAGCTCCTTTTGGAATGAAACTCTTCATATCTTCAGTCTTTAATAATATACTTGATACAAAACTGATGAAATGTAAGTTGCTGTCCATGTACCAATTACCTTTGACAATATAGATGCCCGTGCATGTCTTACTCAACTCGCCATCGTAGATGAGTGCAATCACGTCATGGGTTCCTATGGACACACTGCTCCCAACTGGGGATCCTCCTAAAGTAAGATTTACCGAGACACCACCTCCGTGATATCTGTAACCATCTACAGATTTGGTGACGTTATCTGCTCCGAAATCTGGGTTAAAAGTATACGTCGCTTGGTCTGGATCAGTGCTAATTGTGCGATTCAAGTTCGGGCAGTCCACGGGTAACTCGGTAACTGCAAACAATTACAATGATAAGAAAAGACGGTTGGTAACTCAATAATCTTAAATTGATGTTAAACACACAATCAGTTTAGAATTTCTAAATTATCAAATATTTGCTCGTAAATTAAAGTATTCCCTTGCTAAAGTTTGTTACAAGTATCTCTATCAGAAATGGGAAATATCAAGATTTGATTTGCAACATGCCTCATAAGGGTGAATTAGACCTCCCGAAGAACCCCGTGGCAATTTACAACATGTCGTGTAGCAGTTCCAAGTTCTTCCAGTAATTGATTGTAACATCGCTATTAATTGCTATATCACTGGACAAATCCTATTCTTCATGAGACAATGTCTCATTAGACCTACGTGTGTTCTGTACGTAGAATAAGCAGGAATCTGAGTTGTTATATGCATCGACTGCCAACAGTGTTACTGGTGTGTATCCTGGAGGAAACAGGTCATCTTCTGAGACGTTATAAGTAACCCCATTCGGGTCAGCACTTGCATCTGTGTAAGTATAGGTTGTACCATTCGTCAATCCAGAAAAGGTGTTTGGTGAATCGAGATCCAAGTCGAGAGTAACATTGGAACATGTCAAGATAGGAGGATCTGTGTCTATAAAAACATTAAATGTATTAATGCATAGTTAATTGAAAGCATACAAAAGCTTTTTTTGGAACATGCAGAAACAGAAAGGACACATAGTTTTCCAATATAAAATTGTCAGTAAACGTGTGCAAATTGTAATGTTTCTATAGCTGTCCACGCATAAATAGCGAGGTTATCATAAATTATTTAAAGGGGATGAATTCTTTCAAGGCAGTGAATCAGAAGGAAGACAAGGAGGAACAAAACTTTTGTTAAATCATGTGACGATTCTTTTGCCAAATATATGGCTTTATCCATTGTTGTATTGGTACATAATGATACTATCAACGAACCGTAACCACAGTTTAATTTCCCATAACATGAAAAGGTGTTTTTAAGATCAATATATCTTCAGTCTTGAATAATATAATTGATACAAAACTAATAAAATGCAAGTTGCTGTCCATGTACCCATTACCTTTGACGATATAGATGCCCGTGCATGTCTTACTCAACTCGCCATCGTAGATGAGTGCAATCACGTCATGGGTTCCTATGGACACACTGCTCCCAACTGGGGATCCTCCTAAAGTAAGATTTACCGAGACACCACCTCCGTGATATCTGTAACCGTCTACAGATTTGGTGACGTTATCTGCTCCGAAATCTGGGTTAAAAGTATACGTCGCTTGGTCTGGATCAGTGCTTATTGTGCGATTCAAGTCCGGGCAGTTGACTGGCAACTCGGTGACTGTAAACAAAATTAAAAAAAACAATGCCTCGACATTGTATAGCATGTACATATTAGGCAATTTCGGGTCCAACTTCTGAAATCTGTTCATCCTTTAAAAGAAAGAGCTTCCAGGAGCTATTGGCCCGTATTCTGAAGTCGTGTCTAACTCCTGTTTAACTAAACATTTGTCTAAGTCCTGTCTAAGTCCCGTCTAACTTTAGACACAAAGTCGTGTCTAACTTTTTTCGTATTCTGAAGTCGTGTTTAAATAAAGTTAAACACGAAGTCCTGTCTAAGTCCTGTTTAACTTTAGACAACTGCGAGGGGTTGTTTAAGTCCTGTTTAATGACAACCTGGCCCTTGTTAATGAAACGGCCATTGCAGCAATCGGGCGATGGAAGAACTTAATTTAGTTAATTTACTTTTAATTAAGGAACTTTACATAACTATCTTGATCTAAGGAGACACGAACGAACGAGTCCTGTTTAAGGGCGCGATTCTGCTGCTTTTCAACGTCGACGGTACACTCTACTTGCTGACCCCGAACTTGCGGGGGAGAACGATGGTACGTGCATTCTCTAAAATTTCAAATACGTTTTGCAGGATTTTTTCTCGTGTAGCCTAATTTTTTTTCTCGATAATATTAACTATTCTTATCTACTGGTGACATCTTGGAAATTCCATAATCTATAATAAACTAACCATTCTGTCGAAGAAGTTTATTTTCAGGTTCTTCCGAGCACTGAGGCACTGATAAGGAGTGTGTTTGTCAATCTCAGTGTACAGTACGTGTGTGCGTGCACGTAGTTTAGTTTAGTTTAGTTTATTTCTTTATTAAAAAATCACACCCGTCATCAGACGGCCGGCCTAAAAAGGCCTATGAGTGATACATCAAAAATAACAGTCATAAACAATTTGACATGATAACATAGTACAAATATAAGTATAACATAATTACAATCACAGGAAAAAAAAAAAAAAAAAATTATTCATTTAAGTAGTACAAAAGTTCTTGGCGAGTTGTTAGGATTTGGTTTGCAAAACTGGCTATTAAACTGCTTAGTGAGTCAGCTGAAATTAGGTAAATAAATTGTTGGTATGTGGAAAGATCTGAAAACGTATGGTCATGTTCTATTATATCATAAAGAAGTTGTGATCTGATGTCATTATATGCAGAACAAATCATAAAACAGTGGAACTCATCTTCTATGTTACTAGAATTACAAAAAACACAGTATCTTTCTTCATATGGGACATTTTGATAACGCCCAGTTTCAAGAGCTATAGGGGCACAACCGCATCTAAACAAAGCCAAAGCACGTCTGTTTGATCTATTTTGACATTCTATTACATATTTTGACGTGTTCAAAGATTGTTTAAAATTTCGATAAGTTCTAAGTTTATTTTTAGCATGAGCTTTCTTCCTTTTATCGTCAAAAATTGAATTTCTCCATCTATTCTCGATAAATAATTTACATGACGATGACACAGTTTTTACAAAATTGTCTGTACTAACAAGATTAGCTAAAGGTAAAACATGTACACATTGTAATTTTGAAAAAAGCTCTTTGACTCTGAAACATTGCTTGCTTTGTTTGTTCTTTTTAATTTAATTTAGGTATGCTCTGTGTTATATGTAATTGTATAGTGGAACCTAAAACTCTATCTTGCCACATATGTTGTTCTCAATCTGATAGCTTTTACAAAAAATCAAAATGTCTTGAAGTATGTACCTCTTTAGAAAAGGATCTCTGCAATTGTCCTTTTCCATCTTGTTTTCATAACATATTTGCCTTTAATAATACTGATGATATCGCATTTGAACATCTTTTTAAAAGGAATGTCAATACTTACCCATACCAACTTTTAAATAATCTCCAAAACATTGAAGATGTTTACTCTGATGACATGGATCATAATCTTGATGTCTTGGACTGTAAATATTATTTAGATGATGATTTCTTAACTAAAGCACTTGAATTCAAAGAAAATTTTAGTATTATTCACTTCAATTCTCGAAGCTTGTCTAAAAACTTTGATGCAATATCCGATTTTATATTTTCTCTTAATTTCGATTTCTCCATCTATGGCTTTTCAGAGACTTGGATCCATGAAAACACACCACATACTTTTAACCTACCTGGATATTCGTTTATACATAATGATCGCAAACATGCTAGAGGAGGTGGTGTGGGTTTGTTAATTTCTGATCTTTTGGATTTTGTTATTAGACATGATATCTTAGAATGTTCTGAATATTATGAGTCTTTATTTATAGAAATTGTTATTCCTAGAGGGAAAAATATTATTGTCGGTGTTATTTATAGAAAACCTCAATCAAAAGTTATGGATTTCAATAAACACCTTCAGTCTTGTTTAGAAAAATTGAATATCGAACATAAACATGTATATATAATGGGAGATCTTAATATTAATCTACTGAATCATGATAATGCTTCTGTGAATGAATTTTTGAGTGCAATACATTTGAATAGCTTTGTGCCCTTAATTGATAAGCCAACGCGTGTTACAGAGACATCCTCATCTTTAATTGATAATATTCTTACTAATAACTATGGATCAAATGTGCTTTCTGGCTTATTTTACAATGATATTACAGATCATTTCCCAGTTTTTCAAATAACCCACTTTAAATTTCATGCACAATGTACTCCTACTCGTAAATTTCGTCGTATAAATGAAAGTACTATTAGAGCTTTTGAAGAAAAGGTGTATAATGTTGATTGGAGTGATGTATTTAACTGTACAGATACTGATGAAGTTTATAATATGTTTATAGATATGTTATCCAACGTTTACGATGATGTATTTGTAATGGGAGACAGTAAGACCACAAGAAAAATTATTAAAAAGCCATGGATAACTGTAAGCATATTAAAAAAGATAAGATTAAAAAATAAATTGTTTAAGAAGTATAGGAAAAATTGTACTGATGACAATAAGAAAAGATATGTCAAGGTCAGGAATAATGTTACTAAATATTACGTTGTGCACGCATAAACTATTATAAACTTAAATTTCAGCTCTTTAAAGGAAATATGAAAAAAACATGGAATATGATAAATGAATTACTTGGAAAATGTAAGAAGAATTTACCATCATATGTTACTATAAATGGAATAGATGTACATGATGAAAAGGATATTGCTAATAACTTTAATACATATTTTGTAAATATAGGAGCCTCTATGGCTAATTCTATACAACAAGATGATAACTTTGTTGATTTTTTATCTGGAAGATGTAACAACACCATATTTTTAAAACCTGTTAAAGAAACTGAAATATTGGAAATTACTAAAAATATGAACTCATCAAGTAGTAGTGGCATTGATGACATTAGTCCCCTTGTTGTGAAAAAAATTATTTATGGTATTGTGAAGCCTTTATGCTTCATTTACAACCTATCATTCTCATCTGGAATAGTACCCTTGAAATTAAAAACAGCAAAAGTTACACCTGTCTACAAAAAAAAGATATCCATGATATTTCAAATTATAGACCAATATCTGTTCTTCCAGTCTTTTCTAAGATATTAGAAAGGCTGGCTTATAATAGGATTTTTGATTTTTTGTATAAAAATACTATATTAAATGAATTTCAATATGGTTTTATGAAAAATGTTTCTACTGAAATGGCACTTATTGACTTACATGATTATGTTGTTAATTCTTTTGCAAATAAATTATATACAGTTGGTGTTTTTCTCGACCTGAGTAAGGCATTCGATTCAATTGATTACTCAATATTGTTACATAAATTAAGTTATTACGGTATTAGAGGACTACCTTATTCATGGTTTAAAAGTTATTTACATAATCGAACTCAAGTTGTGTCTTACAACAATGTCATTTCAGATTCTTCTAATATTTCATTTGGTGTTCCTCAAGGATCGATTCTAGGTCCTTTGTTATTTCTATTGTTTATCAACGACCTCCCAAATTGTTCTAAAATATTAACATTTATATTGTTTGCTGATGACACCAATATCTTATACTCAACAGATGATCATTTATCATTGTCAACTAATTTAAATAACGAACTACTAAAGGTCTCTAAATGGTTTAATGCCAATAAACTTACATTAAATATAGATAAATCAAATTATATGTTATTTTATACTGTGAAACAGAAACAAAAGTATAGTACTTTGCAAAACTTAGTTGTGAAACTCAATAATTCATCAATTGAACGTGTATATTGTACAAAATTTCTGGGTGTTTACATTGATCATGATTTATCATGGAAGACTCACATCTCTTATGTCAGAAAGAAGTTATCACAGAATATCGGTGTCATCAGCAAATTATGCCATATCCTACCAAAATGCATTCTTATAACATTGTATAATACTTTAGTCCTGCCCTACTTATCATACTCTAATGTTGTATGGGCTAATACATATTCTTCCAAATTGGAAGCCATTTTTATATTACAAAAGAGATTTGTTAGAATTGCCTCATCATCTTCATATTTGGCACATACTAAACCCTTATTCATAAAGTTAAGCATACTGAACATTTATAAATTAAATAATTATTTTAATGCAATACTACTTTTTAAACACAAGCTTGGTTTATTACCCAATAATTTATGCATTATGTTAACTTTAAACTGTTCAGTTCATAATTATAATACTCGAAACAAAATGAATTATTATTTATCTGCTATTACAAAACAATATGAATTACACTCTTTTAGACACAAAGCTCCTTCTGTATGGAATTCCTTACCGTCAGACATTACTTCTATTAATAGCCTGAACTCATTTAAAAGAAAGCTTAAATTATATCTTATTTCTAATAATCTTACATCATAAAAACACTCAATTACTCCACAATGCAAATTTGTTTAGGGTTGTGCGGTCTACATGTAAGTTTTTGTTTTTGCTTATGTTCTACTTTGATTTGTTTTGTTTTGTTATTTTTTGTTATTGTTTATTCAAATACCATATATCATTTGTATGATTCCTATACTGTTTTTTTTTTCTTCAGGTGGCTGTCCAGACAAACCCTCTAGGGTTTTTATACAGCAACCTAATTCCTATTTGTTTGTTTTTACTCTCAATATTGTACTATGTTAATCATATTTATGTAAAAGTAATATTTTGATGTCACCGTTTTTGTTTTTTTACTATGGAATTAAATAAATACTGAACTGAACTGAACACCAGTTTTTGACTCCATTGTTTGCTAGAGATTTAGACCAAGAAAAGATTTTACTTGGGTAGCGGTCACTATTGAGTTTACTTAAGTTACTCCATAATCTACGTACGTACACACAGTACATGCAGTCTAGTCATTACGTCACGATCACATCACCATGGTACCAGCACGCGCACAGCTAGCTGTGCGCGTTAATTTTTTTTATCCGGTGCGCGCACGCATGCGCACTGGGTCTTTCGTCAGAATTAACGCCTACTGAGCATGCGCAGAAGTCGTGACTACAAGTTAAACACGACCTGCGCAGAACTTAAACAGTTGTTTAGTTAAACACCACTTAGACAGGACTTAAACAGTTGTTTAGTTAGACGAGACTTAGACACGACTTCAGAATACCAAATTAAGTTAGACAGGACTTAGACACGACCTCGTGTTTAAGTCGTGTCTAACTAAATAGTTGTTTAACTTTAGACGTGGCTAAGTCAGACACGACTTCAGAATACGGACCATTATGTTTATTCCTCCGCTTTAATACCGGAGGTGTGTCCAGAGGATTATATTTTCGGGTCCACTTCCGTCGGACTTTATAGTTATCGCAATATCTCAAGAACCATTTGAGGTATGGAATATAATCTTGTCGATAGTTTGTTTCTCCATAGGAAGGCAATCTGATTAGATTTGTGAGAAAGTATGTCAAATGTCAAATATCATTCAGGACTGGTTCTAAAATTAAAGGCCAGTAGGCCTATGAGTTTTCAGCCTGTTCATAGTATGCGTCCCTATAGGAAGCCAATCAGGTGAGATTTTGTGGTACATGTATATAAGGAGGCGTAGGAGGTAAAACGCCAATGACAAAGTGGTAAATTTCCATGAAATTTCAGGGTTTAAGCAAGGACAATTTGAGCTTTGAACCTCACATTTAATGTTAGTAAGCATTAAACCATAGCGAGACGAAGTGATTAAATTTGTGGTTAAGAAGGTCGAAGGTCAAAGCGAGGCAATATACATGATCTTTTTGTTGGGGGGGGGGGGGGGCTTTGTTAACCCAATACAATTTGAGTATTTAAAGTTATTTTAGCTGTGAATGTTTAATGTGTGACTAGTATGCATCATCATATGACGACACGTAAATCAGATGTTGTGGTTATCACGCCAAAAGTCAAGTTCGTAGAGCCAAATTGAAATGTGATTATAGGCTTTTTGTGCTGTACCTGATTATTCAAGAATAATTCAAGGCATGATCGTTATTGATTTAAGGCGGAGGTATATTGGAAACGAGGTGTCATTTGTCCAGTTTTCAATATGCTGTCCAAAGATTGGTTTATCAAAATTAAATTCAGTTATCTGCGCGTCAAATTCGAAAACAAAACTTTTTTTGTTAAATACTTTGAACACCTACGTAAATGTTTATACACAAATTATGTTACTCCATCCTCTGTCGATGAAATGAAGCAAGGTATTATATAAATATCTGTCATGTTTACGGTAATAACTGGAAAAAGTGAGAACTAATAGGCATTTCCAACGATTGAGTGAGGGCCGTGTGTATAGGCCTATGCATATTTTGTGGACACTCTTCAAGGAGATGAGAGGGAAAGGATTGCCAATTGTAAAGACAACACTGGCTAGTTTACTGTTCAGTACCTTTTTATACAAAAGTTAACCAACTGATTCATGTGATTAGGGAGATGCAAGTTGGTCTAGCGAGAATGATCAGCCCATTGCCTTTGCCTACAAACTGACTCAAATGATACCCAGGTTGGAAACTGCGATGGGAAACTTAAACACACACACGCGCGCACGTCCACAAACTCATAATTTATCTACAGAAGAGACCGGTATAAAAAGTGGTGGACAAAATAACCAATCACTTAAGTATTCAAGTAGCTAGCCCAACGATGTTGGAATGGCTACTGTGTCATGGATACCTACAGGAAATAAATTAGAAAAATAACCATCTTTAGGCCACTCCGACAATTCAGGAAGTTCCCTGAATGTTACGATCATTCGGGAATCGTACACAATAAAGCGACCAAATCGCACACACATTGTATGGTATCCGCGCTCGCTCAAAGAAATTTTGTAAACGTAATCCAATGAGGAACTCTGCAAAATTTAACTATTTTCCCGTTACCCGGGGCAACGGGAATCTTTCTCATGAACTATTGACCGTTAATGGCATTGTTCGTTTCTTTACGGGCATGGTTAAAATAACGACTCAAATTTCGACCAATCAGATGGCTAGATTTCTAAAGTGAAGTCTATAAATGCGTGCTTTGGGGGGCATTTCCTTGGAATAGCAAGTAGATTAGTAAGCCTAATGTGCACGAATAAACGTATTTTGAGGGAATACATTCGGAATTGATCATTCAGGCAACAATGGTTACAGATATATTAGAATAAATCTGTCATATACCGTGTGAGTAAAAAAAAAAGTTTACACCTAGAAAATTGCTAATTATTTTTAAAATCATCTATGAACAGTAAATTATTATACATCTTATGGAAGAGTTTTTAATCCAAATCATTTGGTACCATTTTTGTGTGGTATGTGTTCACGCTTGGATGAACAGGTGGCATTGTTTGCAAGAGTGCAAAAATCGACTTGTGGGCTTAGCGGAGTGAGAGAATGAATTGAATTTATCAAATGAAATGCATTGCATATGTTTTTTGCAAAGGGCAAAGTCACACACACCCACCCACATGCCCACAGATGTTCGTTGATATTTGATATTCGATATTTGATATGTGTGGCATGATTAATTTTGTTAGGGATGTTATTTGGATCTGCAAAGATTAATACCCAAATCCCAATTGTTTTATTCAAACATCACATAAGCAACTTTGGCGCAAGTCGATTTTTGCACTCTCGCCAACGATGTCTCCTTTTTATCCAAGCGTGAACACATACCACACAAAAATGTTACCAAATGATTTGGGATAAAATACTCTTTCATAAGACATATAACAATTTAATGTTCATCGATGATTTTTTAAATAATTAGCACTTTTCTAGGTGTAAACTTTTTTTTGACTCACACTTTATATGTAAATGACAATTTATAAAACAATAACATTTACATGATAACAGTGCGAAACACATTGCTTGAAACGCTGAATTGAGTGACCACTTTGATTTGGATTGATAATACAGGCAAATCTTGAAATAAGCAGCCAGGATCAAGGGGCAATTTCTGATAACCAGGGAAATTTTCAAAAAACAGATAATGACAACCAATTACAAGAAGTAAATAGGCTCAAACATACAATGTTAATTTCACTAATGCGAATACATGTATGCTGAATAAAATATAATGTATAACTGCTTTATCTAACTTTAATACAAATACACATGCCCGGGAAATAGCATTAAATATTCATACTTACGTGTGTTCTCTACATAGAAGAGGCAAGTAGCTTCTTCACCACAATTATCCTGTGCGATCAACTCAACAGGTATGTGTCCTGGAGGGAGCAGGTCTCCATCTGGACCAATATTGAAGTTGAACCGGATCCTAGTTCCATTTGTCTTATTGTAAGGGTTTTCATCCATGTAGGTGTAATCGAAATCCTCAATCAGTTCAAGCAAGGAGTTTGGGAAAGTTGAGTTAGCCGTTACATTTTGACATGTCACTATCGGTGGATCATTGTCAAAGAAACACAAATCAAGCCGAGCTGGAAGAAGTGAGAAAGAACAGACTTTGATAGCAATAAAACTCTGTTTGATAGGAACAAGTTTGTTTCCCATACATACAACGGGATTAAACCTACACATACCATATAGAGAGAATAATATTTCAGTTCTAGGACAATTACCCGCTAGACAATCACCAAGGCCAATTCCAAGAGGGGAAATCCCCCCCCCCTTTCCCCCGAGGCTATTACCCCACTGAAAATTACCCCCTTGAACAATTACCACCAGAAAAAAAGTTCTGCTTTTATCAAAACCAACATCAGGGTAGACTTCCCCTTTAATGAACGGGGGGGGGGGGGGTAATTGTCCTCAGGGGTGGTTGTCCTCGGATGTCCTTTAGGGGGATAATTGTTCTATAGAGATAGTTTTCAGGGTGGGGGTAGTTGTCCTCGGGGTGGTTGTTCTTGGCTCGTGTGTAATCTTCCGGGGGTCATTGTCCGTGGGGGTAGTTTTCCGGGGGGGGGGGTAATTTTCTGAGGGGTGATTGTCAAGGTGGTAATAATTGTCCTAATACGTAATATTTCACATGCTTTACTAAAACAGTAAAATTATACTAGTGAACAAAATTTAACAAAGTATTAATGTGCCGTTATAACAGTGAATATCTTATACGCTGATGTTAATTATATTCTGGACGCATGTAGTACCTTCAGTCTTTGATATCGACGGCTGTTCCGCTGAGACTGTATCAGTCCAGAATATGGCTGGCTCCTTATATTAAATTCCCACAATTGATTCAAGCCGCCGATGATGGCGTTATCAACGAACCCATATTATACGATCAACAGCCCACATCACGCCATCTTCGACTGGCAGCAAGTATATAGGGGGAGGTTGGTGTGGTGGGATCAAAATTAAATAGGCCAGATTCTAGACTGAGACTATATACGTCTGGCTCCACTGACCGCCTCTGTAAAGACCATACAGTATACATACCCCGTGTCTACACACAACACATTCATCGTATAACCATCCCGAAACGGTATAGTTATACCTTTTCGGAATTTTAGTGAAAAGAAGAAGACGACGAATAAAAAGAACACGAATTCAGAACACGAACGGAAACAAGCCATTGACGAAAGTCGTTAATGCAATAAGAATTCAGAACGCGAAGAAGAAAAATTAAGGCATTGACGGAAGTCGGCAATACAATAAGGACTCATAACGCGAAAAAGAACAAGATATTTAAGAAAGTCGTCAATGCAAAGCATAAGAATAAAGAACGCGGACTAGAACAAGAGATTAGCGAAAGTCATCAAACCAAAGAAAGCTAACAATGCAGAACGCGACGAGAAACAAGACATTAACGATAAGTCATCAATGCAATAATTAATGAAAATAATTACAATAATAATGATGATAATAATAATAGTATGGGAATGATAACTGACCACTAGACCTTTGCACTATCACAACAAATTGGCAAACGTCTGTATTTCCTGCAGCATCACTGGCATTATAGGACAGCTCTGTTATGCCCAAAGTGAAATTGCCTCCATTAGTTCCTGTTCCTAGAAAGTCCATTCTGGGACAGCTGGACCAACTGTTGAGTACGGGCTCGGTCCATGAGATCGATGGCTCATTCGAAGCGTTGTCATCGATGTTGACAACGATGTTGTCAGGGCAACCCTGGATGGCAACCGGTTCATTATATGTAGCTGTTAAAAAAAACATGGCTTTAATATCAATCGTCGAATCTAATCAATAAAGAGATATATAGGTATTTATATTTACATACATGTACTTAAATGTGTGTAGTGTATGATTTATATATAAATAAATATTTAACAAACAAGTTTTACATATATATTTCTATATTTGAGCAGCGCGTATTTTACACTGAACACTGCATGCAACAAAAGGAGAAAAGATGAAGAAGAAGAAGAAGAAGAAGACAAACAATAAGAAGAAATAGTTGCGAGGATATACTTTAGAAAGAACAAGTAAAGAGATCGCGAATATCCATAATGTTGAAATGCAACCATTGACAGCACATACACTGTCGCTCATAACGGTGGAATATGTTTGTTTACCCCAATTTATGGAATTATTTTAAAAATAATTTAAAAATAATAGATCTAGATAATAGTATACATTCTCAGATTGTATTGAATAATTATTTGCCATTGTGTGTTTTGCGTGACTGCTAAAGCATGTGTATGCTACTATGCTTATCAACTAGGGGACCTACGCCCTTAAGTCATAAATGACAGCAATGAGGGCCATTGCTTTGTCACTGAACCATGACTGTACGCAGCGGGGGCTAGGGTAGGAGGCAGTTTCCATAAATAAAACAAAACAAAGAAAACGCAATACATTTCAATAATTTATTGCATTTTACCCCGGTTCCCAACATAACAAAATCCTCTGTGTGCCCATGCCTTGAGCCATAATGCATGGCCGTCCAGAGGATCAAAACCGTGTCGATGTGCTATATTAGTGCCCTTTTATGGGGGCATTAATCCTTATTACTGTCATTTATGACTTAAGGGCGTGGGTCCCCTAGTTGATAAGCATAGTTAGTATACACATGCTTTAGCAGTCACGCAAAACACACATTGATAAATTATTATTCAATAAAATCTGAGAATGTATACTATTATCTAGATCTATTATTTTTAAATTATTTTTAAAATAATTCCATAAATTGGAGTAAAACAAAAATATTCCAACTATATGAGCGACAGTGTAGTTCCTTAACAAAATACTTTATTAACAGATCATTTCTTTACATTTTAATTTTTATCTATATCGTATCAAAAATCTTAATATTTACAGGTGGAACAATGAAAAAATACCTTTAATTAGTGTATATATGTAAAACATATAAATTGAATACAAGGATTATTCTAGTTAGAAGGATATCATATTTGTTTACAAAACGATGGTAATTTGTCTCATGAAAAAATGAATATTTATTGGTGAGTAGTGATTTTTAATGTTTTTACCCTAGTTTTTCATATTAAAACAGAATTGGTTGTCCCCAAAAAGGAGCACCAATTTGACGCGTGAATTAATCAATTATCCCAATTATATTTAGGTAAATGTATACATGATTGGAACGATTATTTCATAATCATCAGATGACATCAAAAACCTGAACAATAGATCACGCATTATCAACTTCATGCAGCATGAAGTGACAGTGTCAGAAACCCAATTGTCTAAAATAAGTGAATGGCTGCTACGTCTGGTTCATTTTGGTTTTTGAAAACACATGGAATGAGTTTGAACTAATAATTGCTTAACCCTCAATAGCCCCCCCCCGGGGGGGGGGGCTAAATGAGGCACCCCCCCCCCCCCTTCGATATTTTTGGCAGGTAGTTCTTAACGCAAACAAAAATGGCGTTGAAATTGCTTGACTTTTTTTATTTTACATCTCGCGCCAATTTGAAGACCCTTATTTGCGAAGATCGGGGGTATGGTTGCAAAGATATAGCACACATTCGTGACCATTGTCAGAATAATTGTTTTCTTTCTGTCTTTCCTTAGATACCATCTATTTTGGTCATTATCAACTATTTTAGATAACAAAATAATGAAAACAAAAGATTTTAAAACAAAAAAATGCATAAGAAATTAAAAACAAAAAAATGCATAAGAGAAATCAGAAAAAAGAGAAAAACAAGAAAATTATCAATCTAAACAAATTTCACAATAATCTCACATTTTTGATATTGTTGATAGTGGATTATAATGAATTATTCTAGAATAAAAAAAGATTTTTGCCCTGACGTGGTAATCAGAAAATTCTGAATATGAAGACAAATTAGCATATTTTAATAATTAATTACAATTATATTGAATTCCAATACAAGTCATTAGTTTTTGTAATATATGACAAGCTACAAACAAGTCGAATTTGATGGCATTTTCTCCATAAATGGGGGGGGGGGGGGAACTGGAAAACTGAGAATTCCTTTTTTAAAAAAATGCACATTTGCATCATTAATTAGACCAACAAATAATAACAATAAATATCATAAATTTGACTATGCATTTTTGTAAATTACATGATGTAACACAGACACGCCAATTTTGGTCAAAATCGGTAGATAAATGGCCGAGATCTGAGGTGGGCCAAAAAAGCCCCCCCCCCCCCCCCCCCGGCCCGGCTATGCAGTTTCAAAATAGCCCGGGATATATTGGGTTAAAATACCATTGTTTCAATGCTCTCGTTGTTTAATTGCATACGAGACCATTCTGATGATAGCAGTATCACACAAATAACTAAGTAGGCATCAAAATGCGCAACAGTACTGATTATAGGCACATTGATATTTTCTTGTAAGAAGTGATTTAGGCTGCTGAACAAATGTCAATGTGCATTACCAATACAAAATTGTGCCTCCTCAGTTATGCATCATCCTTCCATCACACTCATGGTATCATTCGAAATACTAGAATTATGAGCTTTTGAATGACGTGTATTTGAAGAAAAAAATATATAAAAAAAAACATAATGAACTACGTGAAACAGCGTTTCGCCTTTTTTGATAATTTCCAATCACGCCTCTTTAGATTGTCTAAAATCAGTCATGCGTGATTTATTGATCATATTTTTGGTCTTATATGAAAGAAGAAAAATCAACCTGTTTTATTATGTATACAGTAATACAAAAGTAATTTGGAACAATTGAGTAATTAACCATTACATTTTCATTTTCATATTCAGGGATATCCTGTATAACAGTTATCCGATCTCACTATTTAAACGAAAACATGTCTGGTTTGTATGTGTCTATTAATAACAGTTAATACGTACGCAGTCTTCGCGTTCAAGTACGCCGCTGCCGGCGTCACAAGTGAGAATCCACTGAAATAGCCACAACCCTACCCCTAACCCTAACTCCAACCTTACCTCTAACCCCAGTCTTTACCCCCAACCCTGAAACTAACCCTACATATTGATAAAGCTAATGGATGCAAATGTATGGACAAATTACGACTGCGACTACTTTTGTCTTTTATATAAAAAAAAACTGATTAATTAATGCCTCCTGGCTACGCATAGATTTGACATTGTGCACATTCAGATGCGCTCTCATTAAACAGACTCACTTGAGAAGATATCTTTTAAATCATGTTATCATTTGTGTGTTTCTTAAAATAAGATAGAAAAAGATGAAATAACAAAGTGATATTTATAAAAATACGAGACGTTAATGGCTCTTAAAAAGTGTGTTCTTTTTATATTCATGTTTTATCAAGAGATCTGACGCGGCCTGAGACACAGGCGTCTTACTGTTTGATATAATCCGAATCGTGCTAGGATTGATGTCAAGGTTGCTGCCATCCGTCAATGTCACCGTCCTGCTGGGAACCGTGCGCGTGGATAACTTCATATCATACTCGAAGCTCAAGTACTTGCCGGTAGCAAAACCATCAGAATATTCCCAGGATGTCCAGAACAGCTTGCTGCCATACTTGCTGAGAGAAATAGCCGGCCAATAGTTGGAATGTACATGGATGGTTCTATCCCCACTCCCGTCTAAATTTGTGACGCCCAATGAATCGGCATTCTTGTAGTAAAACAAGCGGGCTATAATAAGACATAGTGAGAAAAATATTAGATGATAAATGTAGGCTACACACAATTTGTGTATAAGGCTATTAACCTTGTTTGTATTCAACGGTTCATTTTTTGCATTTTTGACCGATATAAAAGCCTAAAATTGACCCCCCCCCCCTCAAAATTAAATATATACAGTCATAGACATATGCCATATACATGGCAAATGGTTTGCAGTAAATAATATATAATATATACTCTAAAAAAGTGTACCCAATTTATTTAGAATAAAGGGAACATTGTTGTTAGTGAGGTAAAATATTATCCATTATCTTAAATATGTATTGTTCTATCCTACATAATGGTTACAAAATGTGGAAGTGACGACAGGTCTAAGGTTTCGTCACTAGATCCACCCGGTAATATTTCTGGCGCTCTTGAAACAACGAATCATCTGTAGGTCTACCGATATAAGTTATACGATTGTATAAAATGTTGAATACCAAAGATAGAAACAAAAATCATTGCCCCGTTATACAAACCTAAGCAATTGTACGATCGATTTTTAAGATTGATTGCACATAGTGATCAATGCAATCAATCGCTAAAATCAATAGCACAATCCATTGCTAAGCTTTATGTGACGGGACCCACGGAAGTGATCATTGATTGTCAAATAACGTGATGCCTGCATCACGTTATTTGACAATCAATGATCACTTAGCTTGCATATCATATCAAAACGATTGGGTCACTGAACCGTGCTTGTTTTATTAGCAAAAAAATGTTATATGGAGAATGACGTTTGCATATCATATCAAAACGTTTGGGTCACTGAACCGTGCTTGTTTTATTAGCAAAAAAATGTTATATGGAGAATGACGTACAAAACGCGTCTTTTTTTTGGACATCCATCTCCATTCTGCTAAATATTTTGCCTAGATTGACTAGTATAATACGACAAAGACTATGTTTTTACTAATATCGGGGAGCTTCTCCAGGCGGCGTCCCGGCTGTGACCGACTGATGACCCACCGATTCCCGAGCGGTCTCCGACCGGCCACCGGCTGATTTTAAGGAAATTGCCCGGTGACCGGCCGGTGATCGGCGGGGCACCAAAATACGCTCGGTGCCCGGGCGGTCGCCGCCCAGGCACCGACCAAATTCGAGCGTTCGCCGTCGAGCGGTATAGGTCAAAAAGCGAAGCTGCGAGGTCAAAGGTTGTTTACCGATTTTGAACTCGCCGCCTAGTGATCGACTGATCTCCCAGCGACGACCGGTCAGCGACTGGCCGGCGACAGCTCGGAAACCTTTGACCTAGCGGCTTCGATTTTTGACCTAAATCTCTCGACGGCGAACACTCCATAAGGTCGATGCCCGGGAGGCGACGGCCCGGGCATCGAGCGTGTTGTTTTGGCGGCGAGTGAAACGTGAGCAGGCGCCGCCGAATTTTAACTCCGCGCTAAAACTTCAGCGGCGACCGAGCGATGCCCTAAAAACAAGCGGTGCCCGGGTGAATTTGGCTAAAAACTCGCCGAGCAGGCTACTTTGGGGGTTGTGACCATAGCTTGAAGTTTCCATTAACGCACGTTATAAATTGGGGCGAGTTACATTTTAAAGCAGAGAATTTCTGCTATTTGTGGAGTAGAAATTATTCATGGGGACCTTTTGAGTAAACCCCTCTGTCTTTTGTTCTTGAATGTTGTTACGCATTCATTTTCTGAGACAAAGGTCTATGGCAGATGCCCCAATTTTGTGTTGATACGTACACGGTCATACTCTAATGGCTATAACATCTGAATACGTCAACGTATTCAATTGGGGCGAGCAGATCTGGCGACTTCAAATCTTAAGCTAAAAGCTGATGTCAAAATCATTGTCATTGGTCGAATAACCTCAGTCTGTGCCTTTTTGTTTCCAAAGTTTTCCCCAATTGACGAAAAGTTCTGACAAATCGAAAACTAGCAATGACGTAATGGGAGATTCCATTATTGGTTCGAGGGGTAGCAGCATATAGCCCTTAAATCCAGCGCAAGGAAAGGACAGTAACTTGCGATAAGCCAATATTCAAGACCGAAATCATTAGGCAAATTTCTGATTTCTTTAATTTTGGAGCATTACGTGAGTGCGGGAAAGTTATGAGTTCAATAATGTTATATGTTTCATTAAATTAAGTATTACTCATAAATAAAAGTTACAAAAGAACAAAATAGAGATTTTTCTTCTCCATGCTCCTCAGCCAATCATGTTTCCATTCTCACTTGCCCTTAGTCCCGTATATGTCGATATGTGTACCTATGTACAATCCTCAGTGATCGTATCAGGACAATTACCCCCTTGGGCAATCACCCCGGAAAATGCCCCCCCCCCCCCCCTCCCCGAAAACTACCCCCAAGGACAATTACCCCCGGAAAATTTCACCCGGGAATTACCCCCCCCCCCCCCCGAGGACAATTACCCCCGAAGACAACTACCCCCGAGGACAATCCCCCCCCCCCCCTCCCCACCATTGACATCACCCCTGAGGAATTTGCAACACTGGGACAAATAATGCGAGCCTCTTTTCAAAAATACTATTTACAGAAAATTGCATACACTTTCATTTTCTTAGTTATTTTTCAAGTTAATTTCAGTCTTTTAAATTATTCAATTCGATGTGGAGGTGGAAGTTGCTTAATTCTCCCGTAGTTTTGCCATTAAGTAAAAAACAGAAATTATCTAGCATATTTCTAAGAAATTTGACTATATATTGCACACAGACGAGTACGGTAACCCGACACATGCTCCGCCGACGATTGCTCCGCCGACATTTACTCCGTAAAACGCGACATTTGCTCCGCGACATTTGCTCCGCCGACAATTGCTCCGCCGTCATTTGCTCCGCCGACATTTGCTCCGCCGACATTTGCTCCGCCGACATTTGCTCCGCCGACAATTGCTCCGCCGACAATTGCTCCGCCGACATTTGCTCCGCCGACAATTGCTCCGCAAAACGCGACAATTGCTCCGGTGACAAATGCTCCTCAAACGACAGTTGCTCCGCCGACATTTGCTCCGCCTGAAGCGACACTTGCTCCGGTGACATTTGCTCCGCCGACAATTGCTCCGCCGACATTTGCTCCGCGACATTTGCTCCGCCGACAATTGCTCCGCCGACATTTGCTCCGCCGACAATAATTGCTCCGCCGACATTTGCTCCGCTCAAAAAGTGCCCCGTAAAATACAAAAGCTACTACGACAATAATTGTTGCTCCTCCCCAAAAGTACCCCGTAAAAGACAATGCTCCGCCGACAATAAAATTGCTCTCTGATCCAAAAGTGCGGCCTCGTGGAAGACATGAATGCTGCTCTGATTATTAGTGCAATTAATGCTCAGCCGTTTTTTGCTTTTCCCCATAATGTTTGATTTAAAAAAAAAAAATCAAGTTGTAGCTCCTAATGCAAGTTCTCCGGCGAAAGATAATTACTCCGCTCAAAATCTGTTTCATGTATTACTCATTAGCTGATCCAAAGCTCAAGGCTAACTTTCTCTCTCTCTCTCTCTTGCTCCTCCTTTTCCTTTTCACACCCTTTTCTTGTCTTCTTAGCTCTTTTCTTTCCTCTCATGCTTTTAGTCTTCTTTCATTGTCATCACTTCTTCTCTTCTCCCCCTCTCGAGTTCTATTTCTCTCGTGAAATTGTAACGTAATGTAGTACATGTAGTACATTCTTGTTTAGAATAGTATTTTTATTATCTAGTCCGTTTTCTATAGGTTTCTTTCCTTCAGTTAAGCGCTTTACTAAATATATATATATTAGTGTGTAAAACACCCCGTCTCATTCGAGTACTTTGTTTTCACTGACTTTAAGGGACTCACGGAACCACCGGAAGAAGAGCAATTGGCTTATCATGAAGAACTAACATCAAACTGCAACTAAATGATTTGTATAAATGGGAATAAGCAGAAAGGCTGCCATCTAATTTTTCCGTCTGAATGGGTTCTCTTCTTTACGTATAAGTGCCCTTCAAAGCTTATTTTGATCCCTCCCCTGTTGTTCTCTAGAACTTCCATGATGACCAGTACATTGTATAATGCGTTACTTGCAGATGGTTTACCTAGTAAAATGCATGTGCTTGCTTGCATTGAGGTCAGGTCTTACATATTGATGAGCTGTTTGAAATTAACTAGGAGGTATGCGCGTATTGGGGAATGTGGCTTGCTGCTCTACTTTTTTTTAAAAACTTCCCACGACATGTAATGAGTGTTTAGTGTACATTATATGGGACGTACAGTGATAGATGGAAAGTTATTTCAGTATATTCGAAATAACTTTTAGGTAACTCCTTTTTCCTCCCACATTCATTCATTTCATTTCATCTACATTATCTCATGAAATGCATTCAGAAAATGAAGAAAAAAAGAAACGAAAATAACCCGTGAAAAAAAATATATTGTCGGCGAAGCATTTGTCGTAGTATTAGTAGCATTTGTATTTGATGGGACACTTGTTGGGCGGAGCAAATGTCACCGGAGCAAGTGTCGCTTCATGCGGAGCAAATGTCGTCGGAGCAAATGTCGTCGAAGCAAATGTCACCGGAGCAAGTGCCGCTTCATGCGGAGCAAATGTAGGAGGGGCAATAATTGTCGGCGGAGCATCTGTCGGCGGAGCAATTTTCGCTTCATGTGGAGCAAATGTCGGAGGAGCAATTGTCGGCGGAGCAAATGTCGGCGGAGCAACTGTCGGCGGAGCAACTGTCGTTTGAGGAGCATTTGTCACCGGAGCAATTGTCGCGTTTTGCGGAGCAATTGTCGGTGGAGCAATTGTCGGCGGAGCAAATGTCGGCGGAGCAATTGTCGGCGGAGCATCTGTCGGCGGAGCAATTGTCGGCGGAGCAAATGTCGGCGGAGCAAATGTCGGCGGAGCAAGTGTCGGCGGAGCAGTTGACGTCGGAGCAAATGTCGCGGAGTAATTGTCGCGTTTTGCGGAGTAAATGTCGGCGGAGCAATCGTCGGCGGAGTATGTGTCATGGGACCACGAGTACGCGTTACAGCTTCTCTCACCAACAATGGCACAACAAAGAAATTAGGATGTAAGGTGTCATGTATACATCCTCTGTAACTGTTTTTAATCAGCTGATCGTGTATCTGCCTTTAATGGGCCCTCATCCATCATCCAAAATCGAGGTTTCCTTCACGCTATCTATATATTTCTGTTGCCATGCTGAAGTATAATATGTTTTCTTGTACGGTAAATTATTTTGAAATAGAAATTGCCTTCAAGATATATGTACGGTGCCATGTCAAAAGAAAACAAATATCTGCTCTCTGGTAATTCATCTGATTTGATTTTGTAGCTCCAGCGCAGCGTTTTTCAACCGGGCTGCCACAAGAGAATGTTAGTTACATTTGGAAAACGATGATTTTGTGAGAAAAAAAATATCAGTAATGGTTAGAGTATGTAATTACATAAGCAAATACAATTTTGAAAATAACAAACTGTCTTTCTTCCTCGCTCGTTGACAAAATGTTGACAGCAAGGCGCCCGAATAGGCCTATATCTTTTATGTCGAGATTACATTGTTACCACACTCATTACATTTAAAATCATGATAAATAAGGGCAACGAGAGGCCCGAATATTCTCATATTCGTGTATCAAGGTCATGACCGAATATTTCACTTTGTATTCATGTACAATTCGGCGGCAAGGTGCCCGCATACAGTACTTTAAATCGTTTCTAGTGTCTTGATTACAAACTAATTTTTTACCAGTTTAAAAATGTCTTCCCCTTTGTTATTCTTGAATGTGCCCATACGTGCGTACATAGCACTTGGTGAGTGCCGGAGTCATGCAAAATAAATTGTGTGTGAGGACTTTAAGATTTGGGAGAAACTTTTCATTTCTTCACAGGGTACCGTGACTAACAAAAAGTTGAAATAACGCTGCTCCAGTGAAATGTATTTCTATGCATTTTGAGAAGCGCTGGACAATTACCTAAAACTTACATCTTGCGTAGAAATCAGCAACCGCACTGGCGTTTCAAAAATTATAATTAAAGGGAAATGTGAAGGAGTGAGGAAGATAAAGGGTATAGTATATAGATATAGTATTTGGACGAATATGGGTTCATACATGTGATTTTATGAGCTCGTAGTCATCTCTCAATGTGTCAGATCGTATTTTGCCATTGAATCCTTATTGTCAATGGGGGTAGTTGTCCTCGGGGATAATTGTCCTCGGAGTAGTAGTCCTAGGGGTAGTTGTCCTCGGGTATAATTGTCCTCGGGGGTAGTAGTCCTAGGGGGTAGTTGTCCTCGGGGGGTAATTGTCCTCGGGGGGTAATTGTCCTCGAGGGGTAGTTGTCCTCGGGGGTAATTGGCCTCGGGGGGTAATTGTCTTGGGGGTAGTTGTCCTCGGGGGGTGATTCTCCGGGGGGGGGGGTAATTTTCCGGGGGGTAATTGTCCTCGGGGGGGGGGGAATTCTCTTGGGGTAATTGTCCTTGGGGGTAGTTTTCCGGGGGTGAATTTTCCAGAGGGTAATTGCCCAGGGGGTAATTGTCCTAGAACCGCTTAGGAGGGATTTTATGTCCAAATCTGGCCAAAAGTTGTCATTATACAGGGAGAAAACAAGCCGCATGCGCAGATCATCAAAATGACGTCATTGTGTCGCAGTTCACCATGTCGACGTGACAATCGAAAAGGTCATAAAGTCGACTCATGTGCAACGGGTATTATGTGAAACACAATTAACTATGTATCTTACTGGTGTTATCAGCACATTCCTCAGTGACCATCCCTCCTGCATGGAAGCTTCCTACAACCTGATGGTTAGTAGCGCCTAGTGTTGCCTTGACAACTTCCTGGACAAAGCGTGTTGACCAGACAAGATACCTTTCAAGATGAAATAATCATAATTTTGAAATTAGATGTGTTGCGGTCTGTTAGATATTTCAGCGGAGTGTGGAGCAAGTAATTCCTGGTTCGAATCCCTGTCACGGAACAAATATTTCTTATACCCCATTCACAGTGGTTTTGAAATTTGTAGCGGCGTTGTAGCGGAGCGGCGACACCGCCATAACACCGCTACAAATGCATTCACAGTAGAAAAGTTATCCCTCTGCAGCAGCGGGATAAATATCATGTACCCATTCACGCTGCAGCGGGTGATTTTTATTACCTCCGTAACAAACACGTGTATGCATGGCTCATGACCCGCGAGTGACCCCGATATGACCGGAAATACTTCAGCGCGTAAACATGTCAAGTTGCTTTTTATATCCTCGATCATATTACTTTTTAAAAAACCAGCATTTTTATTGCTTCCAGTCAGAATATTTTAATTTTTTGAAGTGTGAAATATTTTTATTTGGATAATTATAATATCTACATAATAATAAAATCAATTTGAATCCACTGGTTACTTTATTTCTATTTCACTTTATGTTCCCCATTGCTGGAGAAAAGAGGTCAGTGATAGGTAAGTAAACAAATCACACGTGTTTGTCGCGGTGTTATAGCGGAGAGCCTTCACACTGAGTAAACACCGCGACAGCAGCGGGACTGTCCCGCTGCTGTAGCTAGGCGAACCTAGCGATAGTTTGTCGCGGCGTTATCGCGAGGCGGTGTTATCCCGCGATAGTTAATAACGGGTCCGAGCCTTTACACTGAAGACAACACCGCGACAGCAGCGGGACAGTCCCGCTGCTGTCGCGGTGTTTGAGGCCACTGTGAATGGGGTATTATACCCCATTCACAGTGGTTTTGAAATTTGTAGCGGCGTTGTAGCGGAGCGGCGACACCGCCATAACACCGCTACAAATGCATTCACAGTAGAAAAGTTATCCCGCTGCAGCAGCGGGATAAATATCATGTACCCATTCACGCTGCAGCGGGTGATTTTTATTACCTCCGTAACAAACACGTGTATGCATGGCTCATGACCCGCGAGTGACCCCGATATGACCGGAAATACTTGCTTGAAATTGCGCGGTAAACATGTCAAGTTGCTTTTTGTATCCTCGATCATATTACTTTTTAAAAAACTAGCATTTTTATTGCTTCCAGTCAGAATATTTTAATTTTTTGAAGTGTGAAATATTTTTATTTGGATAATTATAATACCTACATAATAATAAAATCAATTTGAATCCACTGGTTACTTTATTTCTATTTCACTTTATGTTCCCCATTGCTGTAGAAAAGAGGTCAGTGATAGGTAAGTAAACAAATCACACGTGTTTGTCGCGGTGTTATAGCGGAGAGCCTTCACACTGAGTAAACACCGCGACAGCAGCGGGACTGTCCCGCTGCTGTAGCTAGGCGTCCCTAGCGATAGTTTGTGTCGGCGTTATCGCTAGGCGGTGTTATCCCGCGATAGTTTATAACGGGTCCGAGCCTTCACACTGAAGACAACACCGCGACAGCAGCGGGACAGTCCCGCTGCTGTCGCGGTGTTTGAGGCCACTGTGAATGGGGTATTAGTCTCCTACATGTATCAACACTACAATTTGTATAGAAGCCAAGATTTAATTCTATTATGTGGATTTTCTGAAGCCAAGTGATTTTTCAAACATGCCGATTCCTGATGTTTGCTGCATCAAGTTCACTAGCACGAAGATATGTGAACGGGTGTTTCCATTTACTGTACCACTTCTTTCTGACCTACCTGACACACTCTGACCCCTATTTTCCTATTAATTTTCTACACAGAGGCATTTTCTTGAGACAATATCTGTGATTTGCTTTTATTGCTAGTGAATATTCATGACATGCAAATTAGAGCGCGGTCATCTTTTCGTCGCGCGAAAAATAGGACCAACTGGGCTTATCGCGGGAAAGTCTGAACAGCTGGCTAGGCTATGACTATCCGCCGAGGAATGCCTGCACTTTAGGCTGCCACGCCAGTCATTGTTTGTAATTAGCCCCAGTAATTTGCTGAGCAAAATGCTGTCTAGCATAGGCAGATCCAGAGGGGGGGGGGGGGCACAACCGGTCGTTCCGCCCCGCCCCCCCCCCCTCTCAGCCACCCAGCCGATAATGCACTCGTCAATTGATATCCAAACCCCTGGGTACGTATGGGTACGATGGCTGGGACTTTGCTTCCTTGTGGCCGGGGAGTTTACCCTTTTTTCGCCCGGTTGTATTGGGCGTATGCCGGAACTTGTTAAAGCCGGGATTTGGGGGCCGGGAGTTGAGCCGGGTTTAGCAATAGAGTCACATCACAAATTAAAAAATCACGCACAGAAAACACACATTTCTCTTCAATAAATTCACTTCATGTAATAAAACCAACATAATATCATCCTTCAAATGAACTTAGTCTACGGAAAAATCATGAAAAGATACATTTTAAGTATACATTTTTTGAGATATTAGCTAGCACAGAAAAATATCGAAATTTGTGTGTGGTCGGAATAGGAAGCCCAATTTAATAATCGGGGACCGTTTGACATCGCTACTTCAAGCTTGAGCCGGTCTTGCTGCTCTTTGCCCGGCTAGTGGGGGTCGGGACTTGGCCGGGACTTGGCCTTAGTTTGGCGCTCATTGCCCAGGTAGCTGGCGTCGCACAGTGGGCCAGGGAGGAACCAAAGTGCGCCCAAACTCATTTTTTGTGATTTTTTTTTCTTCATTTGTTTTCTCGCCCAGTTGAAAGGTAATACATTGAGGAATACCTCAGTAAAATATTTAATTCCGGTATGCACAATGAGGGTACAAATTTACTCCTTCAAACAGCAAAATCCTACATATTCCAAATTTTAGTGCAAAAGTGACTTATTTTTATAAATCATTCAATTTAACATGAAGTTCTTAAGTTATTGATATGAAATTGCTCTCACATATTCCTGATAGTTCATTTCGTTGCATGAATGGGTTAAAATTAATAGAAATACAATCTTCATGATATATTACAGGGGCGGATCTAGCTTTTTGCTAAGGGGGGAGGGGGTTGACCAAAATAATGACGATGCGGAGCATCGTCCACGAGCCGCGAAGCGGCGAGCCGATTTTTTTTTGGGGGTTTATTTGAACCCCGTAAGTGATGTTTTCCTGGCATCTATTAACACAATGGAGACCATAAAAAGCAGTGCATGATAACGTCTTTTTAAATCAAGTAACAGTTAAATACACAGTTATATCCAGAGTTATCATGTGTTTGGTTAAGTTACCAGATGAGTTGAATATCTTCTCACAATATTTGCACTTGAAAGGGTTTCTCTCCAGCGTGCGTTCTTTTTTCTTTCTTTTTTTTTCTTTTTTTCCCCTTTTTTTTTCGTTTGTCTTTTTGGGCCGCCCAAGGGGGGGGGGGGGGTTTAACCCCCCCCCTAACCCCCCCCCCCCCCCCCCCCGTAGATCCGCGCCTGTATTATAGGGTAATTCACTGAAAAATGGACTAATTATCCATGTTTTTTTATAAATCCAGCGGAAATGTTTAGATTTCCGCGGAGTTCCGCTTAAATTTTAATACCACCATTTTCTCCGATATCTAAGCCTTAAGTTGATACCAAATTTGGCTGCCTTATCTTAATTGCCAATCGTTATGTTAGAGCCGATTTCCCTTGCCACATTGCCCCACAAAATGCGTGTTTTCGGGGTCCGCGGCTGAATTATGAAGGATTCGCGGTCATAAATCACGGCGCGTGGGGGCGCGTGACACTTGTTCTGACACCTTGGAGCAAAATAAACACATTTTTCGGGGCAATGTTGCAAGGAAAACGGCTCTAACATAATAACGGGCAGAATCGGGCAGCCAAATCTGGTTAAAGCTTAGACATTAAAGGAAATGTAGGTAATAAAATGTAAGCGGAAATCCCTGGAAATCCAAACATTTTCCCTGGATTTATAAAAAACAAATCCCCCAAAATTATTTTTGGTGCACTTTGGTTCCTGATCCCTGGCCTACTGTGCGTCGGGACTTAGCCGGGGTTTGGCACACAAATATTCGCCCGTTTTTCCGGGACTTGCCCGGGACATGGACTGGGGGGGGGGGGGGGGTTAACATTTCAAAAATGCACCTCATGTGCAAGTCCCGGCCATCCCCGTGGACCCAGGGGCCGGGTTATTGACACGTGCATAAATTCATTTTAAGGCACTGGGCCGTGCCCGGCAGTGCCTTAAAAGGACGTCACATTACCTTAAAGGATGTCACACGTGGCGGTCCACGTTCTCGTCGTGTACATCTAAAAGTCCCTATTATTTGTTAACATAAACTCAGGGGAAGGGCCGAAGGGGGGCCTCGCGTGTCAGTGAATGAACTGACCTTCATTCCTTCCTCTGTCCATGTCTTTGGTTACTAGGCAACATATTCTGCACTAGTTTACAATAACCAGCCTATCATAATGTTCAATTTATTTGTGGCTGTTTTCACCTCTTGAAATAAAGGCTCATCGTGATTCAGATATTCAACAATTATTTATGAAATGATTGTGACATTGTGAAATTCTACCCAAACTCGTTATTTCTCATTATCAAACAAAATTTTGCTCAGCTAATTGCAAACAATGACTGGCGTGGCAGCCTAAAGTGCAAGCATTCCTCGGGGAATAGTCATAGCAAGCTGTTCAGAAGTTCCCGCGCTAAGCCCGGCCCGGCCCCCCCCCCCCCACTCAGTGTTATTTAGGGTACGCATATGCTCGTTCCCTCTTTTTGAAAGCATGCCCCTATCTGAGGACTGCCAACATTTCCGACCCCCCCCCCCCCTTTCGCGGGCTTTTCGCGGGCTTTTCCTGCCTTGGAGACCCCCCTAAATCAGGAAAAATGCTCAATGTACCCCCCTAAATTCGGAATAATTTCTCAGGAGTCCAAAGAGATGAAAGAAAAAAAGAAAAAACACCCCCTTTTTAAAGAAATCTCCGGATGAAAAGTCAAATACACGCCTTTTTTTACAATTCTCGGGCCGGACTTCGTCGCACGAAAAGTACCCCTTTACCGGACATTTTGGCAACACGCAAGCGGTCATTCCGAGTGGGGGGCCGGGAAGCCCAGTTGGTCGTATTTTTCGCGCGACGAAAAGATGACTGCGCACCAATTTGCATAATGTCATGAATATTCACTCGCAAAAAAGCCGACCACAGAAACTGTCTCATGAAATGTCTTCTGTATAGAAAATGAATGAGAAAAAGGGGGGGGGGGGTCAGATTGTGTCAGGTAGGTCAGAAAGAAGAGGTACAGTAAATGGAAACACCCTATGTGAACGTGGATAACCAGAGGTCCTATTCAGTGAAGGATCGATTGACATGACATAGTTCACAGGAGTGGATGGAAGCTTACCTATAGATTTCGTGTAAAGGTTTGTGGAAGTCTACTCTACATCTTCTGGGCCCCGTAACACAAAGGTATGTAATATTGAATTTACAATTTAGAAACAATTGTTCTGATGGGTTTATAGTCAGCCTTTGAACAATATGTGCATTCAACCATGATTTGGTTGGCCATTGCCATCTAATAATTATGATAATAATAATAATTTGGTTTATCCAGGGAAGCCTCACCAGATTAATGTCTTGCCAAAAGACGCCAGTAGGGATTTTTCAATTTGCACGTTCACTAGTGGACTGCGGCGTATGCGGTCACTTTTGAAGCAGTGCGCATGCGCATCGACGAGCTCATCGTTCGTAGCAGAATTCTCGAACGCGTACGCCCTTGTTTTGCCGTCGTTCGCAAACTGTGACGGTGTTCGTAAGCAATCTTTTGTAGACACGAAACATCACATTGAAGTCACAAAAGTGGTGGAAGCGTGAATTCTCTTAAATTAACATATTTCCGTGTCTGTAATTTCCCTTAAATCAAAATTGTTCCAGAATAATTCATGAAATGAACACATTTTATTTGTGCATCGCCAATCTGTTGCAGCATAATTTTCGAGATCAGTCCCATGCACCGAATTTGGTGTGTTGGATCTTTAGCTTTTCGATCGAATTTCGCGCTCAATAAGCAGAATAATTCATAAAATGAACACATTTTATTTGTGCATCGCCAATCTGTTGCAGCATATTTTTTTAGAACAGTCACATGCACCGAATTTGGTGTTGGATCTATAGCTATTCGATCGAAGTTCGCGCTCACTAAGCGACCGTCGTAGTTGTGTAAAATCGAAAAGGTAACGAACAACAGTCAGTGTGCCTCGTCAACCCTGCTTAAAAGTGACTGCATACGTCGCAGTCCACTTATGAACGTGCAAATCGCAAAGTCCCTAGTGCCGGGATTGAAACCCTCAACTCTAGCTTGGATAGTCAAGTGAATGATGAACTACTATATGCTACGAAACCTTCATTTTGCGATTGATTCCAACTGTTTGTGTTATGGGGCCCATATAACCCCAACCAATGGACATTTATGTCTCAACTTATAACTAATAGGGACTTTTAGATCGAGTGGACGAGAACACGACGAACGCCGACTGATCATGCGTGTCAACGTACTTAACTGCCCATGTTGACTACAATTAGAAATCTTTTAGATTGCACTCGACGATATACATGCATGCAGGAAGTAACACTATGAACATCACGGACAAAGAAAGAGGACAAAATATACAGTTCCTCATTCTACCCTCAACAAAAGAACATCCCTTCACTGCTATTATGTAAATATGTGTAGAACAGGCTGGTGAATATGCATGTGACACCTGTTCTACACATTTGTACATAATAGCAGGAAAGGGATGTTCCTTTGTCTACCTGAGGAACTGTATATTTTATGCGCACGCGGCATATACCTTGAGCATGTAAAGGCGCTATATAAATATCAATATGTATGTATGCATGTATATGTACTAGATTTAGGAAAATCAAGGTTGACGCATTCTCGATCGCCGACTGAGACGACGTAACGCATGCGCAGTGCCTTAAAATGACGTCACACGTTGCAGTCAAAGCTGTCGACGTGCAAATCTAAAAGTCCCTAATATTTACCCTTTGACGGGGTCCACCAAGATTGCAGTAGGTTGTAGAAATTTCTCATAAACAAATATTTTCTGTACCGAGCTACCGTCGAGATTGGCATATGCGATAGCCTGATCATTATACATCGTCCAGTAGATCTTCCCGTTCACCAGATCGAGGGCGATAGCACGAGGGGCTGAAAATGAATTAAAGCAAAAGATCAGTACATAATAATAATAATATAGGTTTTCCCGGTCAATTTCGTAAAAGCAGCAATCAATTTCATTAACGTGTATTCATGTTCGAGCAAATTTTCTCCACTCGTCGCTCGATCCCCTGTTTCATTTTTAAACTTGTTGCATTCAATTTCGTTTCACCGAATTTTCTAAACATGCACATTCAAATAGGCCAGTTTCTTGATGTATTCACAGACCTTTAAATCGCATTACGTAATCGGAGGGTCGGTCAAACAAAGAATTCGCGGTGCATAGCAGCCTACACTGTGTGCATACAATACATGTGTTCGCTTTATGTTCGAGGTGTGATTGTATGTTTGCTTTTGCTATTTTGAGAGAGAGCAGAAAAAGGAAGCAGTTTCAAACTTGAATAATAAATATCCTTGAGATGTGATTTTGTTCTTCATACATTTGAGTTTTAGGCAAGAATAATAGAAAAGCATTGGTGTTTAACGGAACGTGCATATATAGCGATTCACATCTTGCAGCCAAACCTGTTCGGTCAGGTCCCCGGTACGCGTCTTATTTTTTCGTACCACGGCGAGGCCAGATTGAGCTCGCGAGGGAAACCTGCGCATGCGCACTCGCGAAGGAAACCAGCGCATGCGCACGTGGAATCCGGTAGGGTGGCTAATAGGGTGATAGTAATTATACAAATCAATCTTTCATCCACTCATCGTTAGCTCAATCGGTAAAGACAGCGTGATACTAATCAAACTTTGAAGTTGACGTGAGGGTTCGAATCTCAGTTTATTTAGTTTTTTGCCTTTATAAATAGTGAGGCAAAGCAATAAATAATCAAAGTCCAATTGTTTGTGACCTCTTTGAAAGCTTTCCTAGCTTGTTCTGTATGAAAATGAGTTCATACTGGAATCTGGGCTCGCTGTGGTACGAAAAAATAAGACGCCCCCGGTACAGGCAGCGCACGATACCCCCTCAAAAAAGAAGACAAACGGAGGTCGATGACACATGCTTGAAAGCCAGCGATGAAACAGAAGGCGAAGAACTAAATTATCAGTTAGCCGATATCTGTAATTTTCATTCAATTTTGCATTTACCTTAGCTAGAAACTGAATACAAATTTGGACGTAGAAATGAAAGAAGTGATGAACTATTTTCCACCCGTTCGCACACACAGTCACCTCTGCTTGCAGAAGAACGTGCGCGCGCGTACCACGTGTACGATTCACAATTTCATAATGAAAACAAATTTACGTATCAAAAAATGTTTATGAAACACCTCGATACGAACTATTTCAAGGCGGCCGAGAAACAACTATTAACGAGAAGCATGCACAGTGACCACAGAATCAATATTAACAGTAGGCTTGCGGTGCACAATGTGAGAGAGAGGGAGGATTGAGGAGTCCTGAAAAGGACTCTTGGTAATCTTTCTTGAGGGTTTGTAGTCCTGAAAGGGACTGTTGGTATAGTCTTGGAAAAAAACTGTTGGTTATCTTTCTTAGTTTATAGTTCTAAGGGGAACTAGACTTTAATTCGTCACTTTCACGAATTAGGTGATACGTATGCTATTTTTTATCATAAAAGTGTGCCAATGATGATCTAATGATAATTTTCATAAATACCATACTGACGATATTGATGATGATGATGTTTTTGTTTTAAATGATGATTTTTTTAATTTTTTTTTGAATGATATTTTATTTCCTTCCTCATAAATTCACATTAAAAGAAATTATCACAATAAGTCATAATAAAACAAGATCTTCGATACAAAACACTTCATGAATTACATCAATCAATGAACAATAAACATAGGAAAATCTCAAATTATACATGATTGTATATACATTTTTCTTTCATATAACAATTTATAATCGAAACAACAATAGAGGAAGGTATAAAGTTATTTGTTATATTTGTTTTACTGATATTTTATTTCCTTCCTCATAAATTCACATTACAAGAAATTATCACAATAAGTCATATAAAACAAGATCTTCGATACAAGGCACTTCATGAATTACATCAATCAATGAACAATGAACATAGGAAAATCTCAAATTATACATGATTGTACATATCAAAATAACAATAGAGGAAGGTATAAAGTTTACATAGTCCCACCCAATCACACCCCCGCACACCCTCAACTCGTACCGAACAAATTCATGACACCCCCACCACCCCCTCTAGCACACCCACACTTCACACCCTTTCACACCAAACACACACACTGCATGCAACCTGTTCCGGCTTATCCACCTGTACCCGATAACCAAAAAAAAAACATCCATTAAAGTAAAAATGCATCGATTTGTTCCCATTTCTGTAAGTGCGTCCCTAGTTTTCCCTTTTTGAAGGCTATTTTATATTCCTCGTCTCTGTAATCTTTCAGCATATGTATTACTTTCTGCACGGATGGCAGAGTTCCCTTTTTTCTGGAAATAAAAATTATATACTTTACTAGAAATATAATACAATTTATTACGAATATTCTAGCAGTATTGCCAGATATTCCCATGAAAATGGGTTTCCAATCATCACTGTGAACTTCGATTAAATGCAACTTTTGAATTACCTCTTGCCATAATCGTTTAACTATATGACAATCTAAAAATAAATGTTGATATGTCTCTACTTCTAGTCTACAAAAGGAACAAAAATGGTCAGACTCAAAAACAAATTTGAAAAGCTCTCTTTTCGTATATACAGCCCCTTGTAATTGTTTGTATTGAAACTCTCTTTGTTTATTACATAACATTGCACATTTCACCCGTGTGAATGTTTCTTTCAATTCCCTCATTCCAAGATCATATTCACAGTAACCGTCTGTAACATGTAATGTGTAATCTTTTTTGAAATTCTTCAATGAAGTAATCATATAACCGCCTAGACTTTATGTCACATAGTTTCTGTAAACGACCAAATATCATCAATTCTATTTCAAAATTTTCAGTATCCACTTCCATAAAATCACTTTGTATCCATTCTAATCTGATTGCTGAAAAGATCTTTTGAATTCTAAGCAAGCTTTCAGTTGCAAAACCCAAATTATAAAAGTGTAAGATTGGTTTTAAATGACCTCTGACGATTATATCTGATGCTTGAAATATACCTTTCTGAAATAATTCGACATCAAAAAATGTTTTATTGCTGAGACATATGCACTTATTATTAAAATAAGCGGATTATTCTTATTTTCTCCAAAATGTCTGCACTTATCTAATTCTTGCCATGCTTTCAACATGTCTTTATAAAACAATGGTATACCATTCAAGTCCATTTTATTTATATCATAATTACACAGAAATATAATTCGACCACCCAGTGATCTGAAAAAGTGGTCAAAGGTCACTTTCCAACCTGAATACTTTTCTCCATATAGCAACAGTTTGACCCACATTATTCTCTGAGTCTTGACAAATACCTTGAAATTCGTTACTCTGAGTCCCCCAACGCAGTAATCTTGGTATAATATTTTCCGTTTTATTCTGTCTCTTCCTCCCCAAATAAAATTAAAAGAAATCTTTTCGATTTCTTCAAAAATGCTCTGTGGGACTGTCATAAGAGACGATACATAATTTAGTTTTGAAAATACATACATTGTCAACAATTTAATTTTGCCAAACATCGTTAAATCTCGTTGCTTCCACCAACCGATTAGTCTTTTGATTTTGCTCAAAATTTCCTTATAGTTCAAATCATCTTTTATTTTGGAATAACGTGCGAAATATACCCCTAGGATTTTTATATGTTGTACCCAATGTCCGAACAGAGGTAAACCCGGCCTATCCTTTTCCTCTCCCAACCACATGAAATTTGTTTTATCCATATTTAGCTTCAATCCACTTAATTTTTCAAAGTTTTTGAAAACTTTCTTCACTCTATTAATTGAATCCATATATTTTAAAAACAATGTAATATCATCTGCATACAACACTTGTTTTATTTCTTTACTCCCGAATCTTATTCCTTCAATCCTCCCATCTTTCCTAATATAACGAGATAATAATTCGATAACTATTACAAATAAATATGGAGATAAAGGGTCACCTTGTCTTACTCCTCTTTTAACTTCAAAATATCCTGTTGAGTGTCCCCCGTTCATCACGCAACTGCTAACATTATTGTAAAGGATTTTAATCCAAGAACACAAAACTCTACCAAACCCAAAATGTTCTAAAGCTTTAAATAAAAGTTTATGGGAAATGCAGTCGCGGAATGCCTTTTCAAAATCTACGGCAATTAAAAAGCCTACTGGCTGATACAAGGATTGGAAGAATAAATCATCAATTAAACGAACCGCTTCCCCAATATTCCGATCTTTAACATATCCCACCTGATCGTAATGAATAATATCCTCCAATACCTCCTTTACCCTTGTAGCCAATACTTTTGACAATATTTTGTAATCTACATTTAAGAGAGTAATTGGCCTATAGTTTTTCATGTGCAAAGGGTCTTTGCTTTCTTTCTCAATTAGTGTAATTATCCCCTGTCTCTGTGAGTTGGATAACATTTTTGTTTCAAAACCTTCATTAAAAGCCTCCACTATTATTTTCCCTAAAAGTGGCCAGAACGTGAAATAAAACTCGGCCGTGAATCCGTCATTGCCTGGTGATTTGTTCCATTTCATTTCCTTTACTGCTTGATAGCATTCTTCCAATGTTATCTGGCCTTCACAATACTCTTTATTTTCTTTACTTAATTTGGGTAATTCATTAAAGAACATATTTTCAATATCCTCTGTACTTTCGCCATTTTTACATGCATATAAATTCTCGTAAAACTTCCTGATAATCTTCAAAATTCCTTTGCGATCCCGCACAGCTTCCTTATCTTCATTATATATTTCCTTAATCACACTTTTCCTTTTATTTGACTTCAGTAATTGTTCAAAAAATTGCGAATTTCTTTCTCCTTCTTCAGACCATTCTGCCCTTGAACGGACTTTTAAACCTTGACGTGAATAGTCGAAAAGCTTCTCTAATTCCATTTTTTTCAAATCAGTTTCGTCCTGAATACTTTTATGAAAATTGAACGTCAATCGATATTCTAAGTCTTTAATTTCTTTTTCCAATTTTTCAATGTGGGCTCTTTTGAGTTTTGCTTTTTCACGGGAAAATTTCATTATATATTCTCTTAACTTCATTTTCATAAATTCCCAAAATTTAATTTTACTCATTATTTGAATCCGCCAAGTTTCTTCTATTTCAGAAATCTTTATTTTTACCCCATCTACAAAATCTTATTCATTACATAGACTACTATTGAACTTCCAATACGATTTCCCATATACAAAACTATCGACTAAATTATTAAATTCTACTCTAACTCTAGTCCAGATTCTGGCCTATTTAATTTTGATCTCCACCACACCAACACTACCTCTCCCTACTTACTTGCTACCAGCCGATGATGGCGTGATCATTAAATTAGGACGCCAGGCTGGGCTTGTGAGCATAATTATGAGTTTGTTGATAACGCCACCTTCGACGGCTTGAAGGGAAATTATAAAGGACCGTGCAGATTCTGGACTACTCTAACTCCCGCATGATCAGGTGTAATAGAAGGCATAATTTCAGACTTTCTTACCGCCTTGTCTACTTTCGAGGAAATGAAGATATAATCCAATCTACTCTGAACTAATGGCTGCTTCTGTCTGAAAGTGAATCCTTTCTTATTAGGATGACGCTTACGCCACACATCAATTAAATCAAGCTTATCAAGAAAGTCTAATAATGAGTCCCATATTGCTCCGATTGTCTCATTTTCGCTCGCGTGAACATTGCCAGCACAAACCACTGACCTCTACCTCCTGCACGGATCATCGCCCATTCCCATTCACTATACGTTACGTACTAAAAGGCTGTATTGTCTGACCGTTCATGAATATTCATGTTTTTGCTAAACTCGGCAAAATGTTTGCTTTTACTAAATTGAAAAATTACGGTGGAGGGTTGGATGAAATGGACATAATGAAATAGGCAGAAGTGATCTATGATAATTAATGCGTTTTATGTTTCGTGTGCTCGACCTATAATCTTCAAATCGCTTGGTAAACTGAGTCCAAAGTTAGACTTGTTTCACATGTGTATTATAGGCAATGACGAGCTTGCAACCTATTTTGAAAAATTACGGTGGGTGAACTTTCAAAAGTCAATGAGACATGAGGGCTCAAATGAAAGAGCTAGTGATAACGTACGTCGGGTTGGATGTGCTTTTCGTTTAAACAAAAAATGAATTTTTAACGATTTTTAAAAAAAAACGTCCATAGGCTAACATGTTAGGCTGCTGACGCTGACGATGCTCTGACGATAGGGGGCGTCGTGAAATGAGACTAAACGGGCTATATTTGCTTTTCGAAATATTACTTGCACCCATTTAATCCAAATTATGATTCATAATAACATTGAAGTCTCCTCCAATTATCAAGGAATATTCTTGACTAAATACAGAACAAATTATTTTATTTAGATCAGACAGAAAATCACATTGGGCGTTTTCTTTATTCCTTGTGGGAAAGTACACACTTCCTAATATTAGCTTTTCGCCTTGACATTTGCCTTTAATGATGACGTATCTTCCCCCTTCGTCAATTAAGGTTTTTTCCACCACAAAAGTAATACCTGGTTTAAACATTACAATAACCCCCTACTGTGGTTACTCCCGTGGCTAAAAAACATTGAGCCTTCCCAATCACCCTTCCAACTGTCTTCAATGTCTTCTGTGCTAAAGGTTTCCTGCAAGAATATCATATTTGCCGACATTTTGCACCACTGAAAAATCTTCTTTCTTTTGACTCTATCTCTCAGTCCTCTGACATTAACTGAGAGTAATTTTAAATTAACCGACATCAAGAACTATGAATCTATACCTGTAACAAAGAACCTTTAGAAATGTACATAGTGGTGACAGTTTCACAGTAGATGGGAAGCTTGATGCATTTCCAACTCTAGAAAAAACAAACACTTTCAAGTTAGATTGCAAATTAAACAAGTACAGGCAGACATCGGAACCGGAAAACATACCACACATACCCTCACCCCACCCTTCAACACTATCAACCACATTCATACACATAAGCATAATATATGCTGTCATGTTCGAAACCCCTCCCATCACTTATTCTAAATCATGGCGTGGCAGCCTTTTACACAAAGTATTAATACAGTCTTCTTACTGTGACAACAAAAACCAACACCGAAAATAAAACAGAGCAATTTATCATAACTCCAGACGATATAACTTGACAAGTTGACCTCATAATTAACGGATTCAGATAATGTGTAACTAAGGAAAATTTAGCCCCAGGCTCAAACGGCGATATATAACATTTTAAAAGAAAAAAACGTAATAAACGAACGTAATAAATAAACCCCGTGCATACTTTCAGCTTCAACAGCTTGGACCCCACCAAATGGCTTTTGATACCATTATAAACTTTACAATATATAAGGAGTTTCTTCCCCTCCCACCTTTTTATTTTATTTTTATTTAAAAAAAACGAATTAATTAACTTTTGAACTATTCCTCTTCTTTTTTTCTTCTTTTTTTTACTGTTAACGACCGGCTTAAGGTAATCGCAAAAGGGCATTATTTCTTTTCCCCTTTAAATTTCTCTCAAAACAGAGTCTAGATATAAAATTTATAGTTAATTTAATGACCTCGCTGGTGTCTAAGACCGGCTGGGGACGAGACTTTTCTAAATAAAAGAACAACGTCCCGCCCACCTGCCGTCATAGACAGTGACCACAAGCAGCCGGTGACGAGATCTAAAGAGCCACTCTCGCCCTCCAGCTCTCGCAGGCCAATCATAGATGAAAAAGTATCTCACGCGTCCAAATCATTTATGCTTTCCAAAAATATTTCTATTCACCAGCTGTGCTTCACAAGGCACTAACGTTAATCCTCCTGCTAAGATTGTAAGATTACATGGATATTTACTATTAAAGGGGGGGAGAGTACAAGTACAAGGTTTTGTTGTTGATTCATGTTCTAGATGGGTATTGAAGTAAATTCAGCTTGGTTGCCAGCTTGGCAACCTTGAGCAACTTTTTTTTATAGCCTAATTAGCATAATCATCTAATTATCATATGTGCAATATGTAATAATGTTGCTAATCTCAATCCAGGAAGCCTGAAAACATGGGTAATACGACTTTTCAAGGGTTTTCTATGACGAGGAATTCATTTATGACACCAGTTTTTATTTTTAAGTAATGCAATTGTCTTAAATAGCATAATTAGCATGATATGCTATCACTTGACCTGCACCAGCATCGACGCCGTCTTCTCCGAATTGTTATCTTTCTTCCATCTCTCCTACATCCCCACCATTATCATCGTCACTATCACTACCAGTACCACTGTCACTAGTTGTGGAGCTGTGCTCATCAACTTTGAATTCTAAATCGAGTAAAACCTCTTCTTCGAGCTCGGACATTTTGATCAGATATTTAGCGTTCGAGTGGCGTTTGTATACGTATAATGCATGCAGGCGAGAGTTGTGTGAGAGCTCTTGGGAGCACCCTCGCGCTCATGTGCCCAACCTCATACGTCACAAATTGTACGTCACAATAGCGGGCCGATCAAGGGCGGAATAATCGGGTAGTAATTTCACCACTTTTAATAGCAGATAAGTCAATTCTGTAACAATTTTTAAAAACTAAATATGAACCATTATAAAGATTGTAACATTAACTTTGCAATGATACCAACATTATTAAGGTTAAAAGCCTTTTGAAACCTTCGCTCAGCTACTTTAAATTATAGAGAAAGAAGGCGATTCGTTGTACCGTTCTCGACTCTTAAAGCCCCAATGCACTACGTATAGCTACTTGCGCCATCTATACAGTGCGTCACAGAAAAAAGGAAACCGAGAATTATCGATATTTTATCATAACTTAGTCACAATTATAATTGATAAATGACACATATTTGTAAATCTTAGATCCTGTTCTTTTATTTGATGCAACACATATAATGCATATTTCACGCATGAGTGATGAAAATGAATTTGAAGAGAGAAAACCAAAAGGTCATTTGGCGGACGGTATCTGAATTTCAAAGAGAAAATCACATTTCTTTAAAGTTGAGTTTCTGCCCTTTCATATGACACCTCAGTCAGGAAAAGTGAGCTAGGAATAACAAAGTTCTGTTTGTTTAAAGTAGTGCTTGTATTTCCATAGTTTCATTAAACGAATTCGTTTTCACTGGCTGCCTGCCGTAGCAACAAACGGAATTATTAAACAAAAGACTTAACTCCGTTTCGTTGACAATCAGACGTAGACGAAAGACTTCATGCATGGCTGATTGTCAACAAAACGGGGTTAAGTCTTTTGTTAATTCTGCTTGTTTGCTATGGCAGGCAGCCAGTGAAAACGAATGCGTTTGATGATATTATAGAAATGCAAGCACTACTTTAAACAAACAGAACTTTCTCATTCCTTGCTCATTTTTCCTGATTGAGGTGTCATATGAAAGGGCAGAAACTCAGCTCTCTAGAAATGTGATTTTCTCTTTGAAATTGAGATAACGTCCGCCAAATGACTTGTTGGTTTCCTCTCTTCAAATTCATTTGAATCACTCATGCGTAAAATATGCGTCATATGAGTTGCATAAAATAAAAGAGTATCTGAGCTTTCCAAATATGTGTCAGTTATTAATTATTATTGTGACTAAGTTATGATAAAGCATCGATAATTCTTTGTTTCGTTTTTTCTGGGACGCACTGTATGGCAAACAATGCCTAATTAGTTGTGCCTGTTGGTCCCCCATGATCCCTCTTTTCTTATGTTAGTTGAAGGCTGATTTGATGAGATAACCACATGGCTGTGCCCCGGCGTCATTGACCTTGCAGGGAGGTGTAATCCCCCATGGCCAAACTAGTGCAGACGGGCTTTAATAGGCCTACATGTCTGAATTCAGCCCTTCCCCCCCCCCCCCACTCCCGCGCGAAGCGAGGAAGCTTTGACGTTTCCTTAAATTATTCGAGAAAGAAGATGATTCGTTGTACCGTTCTCGTCTCTTAATCCTTGTCTGAATTCAGTTTCCCTCATCCCGCGCTTTGACGTACGTTTCATTAAATTAGTATCGAAAGAAGATGATTCGTTGAACCGTTCTCGTCTCTTAATCCTTGTCTGAATTTATTTTCCCGGAAATGTTAAATCTCTGATTTCTTTTGCTTATATTGTAAGAAGGTGAAACTTCGAGAAAACACAAGTATTATTGTTGTAATCTCCGTCGAAGTCGTCAGAGCGGATAAAAGATTTCCCACAAGGAGGACAAATTACGATAGGATTATGTGTGTGTTATGTTTGTTTTTTGGTCACCCCTGGAGGGGGAAATATATTAGCCAGATTATATAGTCATCAAAGCTAAATATAAAATTATACTTTTACGCCACCGTTCGCATAATGCCTTACGGTCATAAAATTGTATCTTATTTGGCTTAAAATCTTGGAATCATCACTTCCTTAATTTATAATCGAAACTATATCGTGCAATATTGTAATTTACGAAAAGCTTGAATATGGTATCTAACTTAAGTCCCTACAACGCCCTCTCTGTCGCTTCCTTCCTTTGCTGAGGTTAGGGTCATGGCAGATCAGCCCCTCGATGGCAACGCTGCTACCCCCCTCCCCCTTCAACGCCCCCTTCACAGACCCCCTCGTGAAATACACACAGGATACGCCATCTATGAACTACTTGGACGAGAATTCAATATGCATTTGTACCAAGGAAATACTTCGGGGAGGGTGGGCCGAATGGCACAGAATTGTAAGGCTGATGGGGGGGGGGGGGGAAGGGGGGCTGCTGCTCGGGATGATAGGCCACGTACACTATTGGGACACGCCTTTTGTTCTCTCTTTTTTCAGTAATGTATGTTTTAAATTTGTTTTCAATAATTGTTTTATACATATAGTCCGGGGCATGTGGCGTCTCCTCCCCCCGCGCCAACGCCAGAGCAGTTGGGTGTCCCATATCCATTATTTCGCTTTCTTATTACCATTTTGTTGTTGCTTATTTCATTTTCATGAATAGCTTTCGTATTATGAATAGCGACCCTCATCCGGTGTTATGAATAGCGACCCTCATCCCGTATTATGAATGGCGACCCTCATTTCGTATTATGAATAGCGACCCTCTTCTCCTATAATGAATCGCGACCCTCATATCGTATTATGAATAGCGTCCCTCATTTCATATTATTGAAAGCGACCCTTATTTCGTATGATGAATATCGACCCTCATTATGTATTATGAATAGCGACCCTCGGCCCCTATTATAAATAATGACCCTCATTTCGTATTATGAATAGCAACCTTCTAGTCCTATTATGAATAGCGACCCTCTGCTCCTAATATGAATACGTATAGCTCCGTTTAGTCTCATTTCACAACGCCCCCTATCGTCAGAGTCAGCAGCCATACATGTTAGCCTATGGAATTGTACTAACAAAAAAAGTCGTTAAAAATTCATTTTTTGTTTAAACGAAAAGCACATCCACCCCGACTTAAGTTATCACTAGGGTGCTTTAGTAACGAGACGGAAGGCAAAGAGGACGGGAGAAATCACTCAACCGAGATCAAATAATGTATGCAGTTAAGATTCTGTCTATTGAAATACTATTATTCGTATCAGGTGAATGAAATAATTTGTATTGAGGCACTTCACAGAGACGTATGCATTTAATTTGGTTACATTACGAAAATGGTCAATTGTACGGCGATACAACTCTTCCGTCGAGTTTAGGGAACGAACGCTATTATGGCTGAGACAGGTCGTGAAAATCAACAAGACGGAGACAATTCTGGTTCGCACATGCGCAGATTGATTATTTTGCTCGGTTACCCTCGTCTTTGCCTTCCGTCATTTTCGTAATGTAACCAAATTTAATGCATAAGTCTTTGTGAAGTGCCTCAATACAAATTATTTCATTCACCTGATAAGAATAATAGTATTTCAATAGACAGAATCCGAACTGCATACATTATTTGATCTCGGTTGAGTGAATTCTCCCGTCCTCTTTGCCTTCCGTCTCGTTACTAAAGCGCCCTATTAGCTCTTTCATTGGAACCCTCATGTCCCATTGACTGTTGAAAGTTCAACCACCGTAAATTGATCACGATAGGTTGCAAGCTCGTCATTGCCTATAGTACACATGTGAACAAGTCGAACTTTGGACTCAGTTTGCCAAGAGATTTTAAGATTATAGGTCAAGCACTCGAAGGATAAGAAGCACGAATTATCATAGATCACTTCTGTTTGGTTCATTATGTCCATTTCATCAAACCCCCCACCGTCATTTTTCCATTTAGTAAAAGCAAACATTTTGCCGAGTTTAGCAAAAACAAAAATATTCATGAACGGTCAGACAATACAGCCTTTTAGTACGTAACGTATAGTGAATGGGAATGGACGATGATCCGTCCAGGAGGTAGAGGTCAGTGGTTTGTGCTGGCAATGATCACGCGAGCGAAAATGAGACAATCGGAGCAATATGGCAAACCTCATTTCGAATTATGAATAGCGACCCTCATTTCGTGTTATGAATAGCGACCCTCTTCTCCTATTATGAATAGCGACCCTCATCCCGTATTATGAATAGCGACCCTCATTTCGTATTATGAGTAACGACCCTCTTTTCCTATTATGAAGAGCGACCCTCATTTCGTATTATGAATAGCGACCCTCTTCTCCTATAATGAAGAGCGACCCTCATTTCGTATTATGAATAGCGACCCTCATTTCTTATTATGAATAGCGACCCTCATATCGTATTATGAGTAGCGACCCTCTCCTCCTATAATGAAGAGCGACCCTCATTTCGTATTATGAATAGCGACCCTCATTTCGTATTATGAATAGCGACCCTCTTCTTCTATTATGAATAGCGACCCTCATCCCGTATTATGAAAAGCGACCCTCATTTCGTATTATGAATAGCGACACTCTTCTATAATGAAGAGCGACCCTCATTTCGTATTATGAATAGCGACCCTCATTTCGTATTATGAATAGCGACCCTCATTTCGTATTATGAATAGCGACCCTCATTTCATATTATAAATAGCAACCTTCTAGTCCTATTATGAATATCGAACCTCATTTCGTATTATCAATAAAAAGCGACCCTCTGCTCCTATTATGAATAGCGACCCTCATTTCGTATTATGAACAGCGACCCTAATTTCGTTTTTTGAAATATCGACCATCTGCTCATATTATGAATAGCGATCCTCATTTCGTATTATGAATAGCGACCCTCATATCGTATTATGAGTAGCGACCCTCTTTTCCTATAATGAAGAGCGACCCTCATTTCGTATTATGAATAGCGACCCTCATTTCGTATTATGAATAGCGACCCTCTGCTCCTATTATGAAAAGCGACCCTCTTTTCGTATTATGAATAGCGACCCTCATTTCGTATTATGAAC